CCTTTTTCTCCTAGCCTTTTTCTAAATTCCCCGTGCTCGTGCTCGTCGACTATCCTTCTTCGCGTCCTCGTTTTGGTCCTGGGTGAGGAACGTGTTCTGCTATCTAGGATCATAAATCACTAACTACTATAGACGGAGTGTCGACACTCCGTCTTTCGTTCTCTGCATACGTGTTGAGAGGTACGTCCTGGTTACCCGGTCACCCTTTCCCAGCATTCCCGCCATTCCTCCCCTCCCCCAAGTACTGCATTCCCGTGGTGATGTGCCAAACCCTTCCAAAAACACCCACCTAAACAATACTCCCAGCCCTCCTACGAACTGGGTGCCCTAGATGTTGACCATGAGTATTGTCATCTACAGATTTGGATGATTGACTCCTATTTTCAATCCTTGATTACGCCAATACATCACCGCTGTACAATCTCCTTGTATCGCCACAATTAACTTTCTTCCCCTTTATAGTAACTATACTCGATTCCTCTGAATTCCGTATCGCGTTGCTGAGGATGTTCATTGAATATTCTCTTTCATAATCTGCGGTCAGTGACCCTGCGTCCGGCTAGACCGTCTGGAAGGAACCCATATCCAGAACCCGAACTCGAACGAGAAAGATATGGAACCAATGAAGCCACATATTGCGCCACTGAAGATCGAAAAGGAAATCTCCAACTTTTACCCAAATCGCTTCTACTCTACTCAGCATCATCAGATGACACCTCCCCTAACGCCATCCAACACCAAGAAAGCCGACAGCATGGAAGAGACGGAAACTCCGCGAGCCGTCTTCCATAACTACTTGCGTGCCTTCTACCCTTTTCATCCATCCGGGGACGTATCACCCGCCACCGTCACACTACCATTGGACCAGGGGGACATCATATTAGTACACTCGGTTCACACAAATGGATGGGCAGATGGCACATTATTAGATACCGGTGCCCGGGGCTGGCTACCCACTAACTATTGCGAGGCTTACGATCAGTTACCAATGCGCCCGCTCCTGAAAGCGTTGACCGACTTCTGGGACATCATTCAAGGAGGATGCGGCTTCCCTCTACGCGAATTCTGCAACCAGGATACCGTAAAGGGCCTGATTGCTGGCGTGCGCTTTCTACTAGTAAGTACTAACCCTGGGAGGACCACAGTGGGGATAGCTGACATGTCAAAAGGAAAAATCTGAGTGTCTCACTCGTGATTCCGTTCTAGTAAGAAGCCATGATGGTCTGCGTAGGAACCGCAAAGCTTTGCTTGCAGATCTCTCTTCCCTTGTCCGAACGACGAAGAGATGCCAGGAAATGCCTAGTAGCACCAATGACACGGAACATGAGGTGTGCATGATGGACGAAATGCTTTTGAAGGCATTCCGAATTGTGACTCGCGGTGTTCGTTTCCTCGATATATGGACCGAGGAAGTGGGCCTGAGCCGGACCATCGCCGAGCTCGGCCAGGTAACACACTTTGACATCCTTCCAACTCCCATGTCTGAGACATTCCCATCGGAAGCTGATATGGAACGGGGTGAATCCCGGCTGCTGAACCGCAGTCGATTGGATATGAGTCGTGCATCTAACCGAACGGATACGATGGAGCCTCAGTCCCATCGCCCCGTGTCCGTGTCTACCAAGCGGATCTCCCACCGAGTGTCGTGCTCAGCGCCTGCTGCGGCCTCCCGAAACCCAAACCTGGCTTCAGAAAGGTTGAACACCACATACGATGCGTTTCTGGGAGTCCTGGGCTCGTTCATTGGCCTCCATCTACAATCACGTCCCTCAACAGAGCTAGTAGTTACCACGGAACAGGCGGTGCGGTCTTGTCGAGGTCTGCTAACGGTCGTCGAGGCGGTATGTGAGCACGATCCGCAGGGATGCGGGCTTCTGGAGCAAGCTCGGGACACTATGTATGATCGACTTTCAGAGCTCGTTTACGCCGCCCGGGATGCCTTCCGACCCGCTCATTCCGCAGATGACGAGCTTATCTTCATGCCGGATGAAGGCAAGCGTCTGGTTGACGCTGCAACCGACTGCGTCAGAGGGGCAGGAAACTGCTTGGCGAAGGCCCGCGGGATGCTGGAACAGAGTGGCGATTTTGAACTTGAAGCGATGTCCCAGGACTCCAGCACCGTTAACGACGCTCAGAGCACACCTGTTCCACAGCGGACCGGGAGGCTGGCAGGCGACCAGAAAGAAGTATCCTTGCGCCTCCCTCCCCCCCCGCTTGAAATTCCGGTGAAGAAGAACCCACGCGATTCCACCTCTACTCCGGGCCTTACCGACGCTGCCACCCCTTCTTCCTTTAATTCACGTGCATTGGTTACTCCGACCACTGATAGTACCGATCACCCTACATCTATGCTGTCCACTAGTCTGGACAAAATGTCTACCTCATTGATGCAGGACGCTCATGTGGCAGATAGCATCCAGTGTCGCGACAGCCATCCGAAGTCTGAAGCCAGTGAGTCCTTTGGCCGCGGCATTACCAGCACCGGGAGCAGTTTCACGTACAACAGCCATCTCCGCGACTCCGAAATGAGCGGGGTATCTCAGACATCCACCCGGGCCACCTCTCCGGACATTTGCAACAGCTACCAAGCCCCGTCGCTGCATGGCAGTATCAGTCACTCGACGTTGGCCGAGGAGAATGAGGAGACGGAGGCGAACGTTCTGGAGAAGACCTTCGCTCATGAATTGATTTTCAAAGATGGCCAAGTCATGGGTGGCAGTCTTCGCGCCTTGGTGGAGAAGCTCACAGCCCATGGGTCGACCCCAGATGCCATGTTCGTCTCCGCCTTCTACCTCACTTTCCGTCTCTTTGCAACTCCAATGGAGTTTGCCGAAACCCTTGTCGATCGGTTCATCTATATTGGCGATACGCCTCACGCTGCAGGCCCCGTTCGCCTTCGTGTCTACAACGTGTTCAAGGGATGGCTCGAGTCTCACTGGCGCCATGATTGTGACAACGTAGCACTAGACTTTATAATGAACTTTGCCAATACCACCTTAATGCGAAACCTGCCTTCTGCAGGAAAACGCCTGGTTGAACTGGCAGAAAAGGTCTCGGCAGTCCATGGTCCAGTGGTGCCCCGGTTGGTGTCTTCTATGGGAAAGACCAACACCGCGACTGCGCAATACGTACACCCGGATGCTCCCTTGCCACCGCCAATCCTTGGAAAGAAGGAAAATAATCTCCTTAAACAGTGGAAGAATGGCGAGGGTAGCCTCAGCATATTGGACTTTGATCCGATGGAACTCGCGCGGCAATTCACTATCAAGGAATCCCGCATCTTTTGCTCTATACTCCCCGAGGAGCTGCTAGCAACAGAGTGGATGAAGAAATCCGCATCATTGGCTGTCAATGTCCGTGCAATGTCTACCTTGTCCACGGATCTAGCGCACCTGGTGGCTGATTCCATCCTTCAGCTGGAGGAGCGCAAAAAGCGAGCGGCTACCATCAAACACTGGGTGAAGATTGCTAACAAGTGTCTGGAGCTTGACAACTACGACACGATGATGGCTATCATCTGCTCACTAAACTCGTCAATGATCTCTCGTCTCAAGCAGACGTGGGAAATTGTATCCCAAAAGACTAAGACCACACTTGAGTCTCTGAAAGGCATCGTCGATGTCTCGCGCAATTGCGCGGTTTTGAGACAACGACTGCAGAACCGCATACCGCCCTGTTTACCTTTTGTCGGTACATACTTGACTGACCTGACATTCGTGGATCACGGCAATCAGCCGTTGCGCAGCCTGCCCACCGAGGACGGTGAGATGGCAGTGATCAACTTTGACAAACACATGAAGACGGCCAAGATCATCAGTGAACTGCAGAGGTTTCAAATTCCATACCGATTGACTGAAGTGCCGGAATTGCAAGCCTGGATGCAGAGCGAGTTGATCCGGGTACGGTCGAACGGCGAGAAGAGTATGCAAACATTCTATCGCCGGTCGTGTCTGCTGGAGCCGCGTGACCAACCCCCAACTCCACGCTCGATCCCTCAACCCGAGTCGAGCGCATCATCTATCCTGGAGAATGCCAAGGATAAATTCGACTTCCTGTCTTGGACACATCCGTCAAAGGCCAAGTCGGTAGCGACTAACGGTTGAAACGTTTGCATTGGTGATGTATGGCCACTATTATGATTTACGACAGTTACACTCTTCGATCATGTCTTACGGTGTTATAACATTCTATCATTACTATTATCTTGCTCTCTGTCCAATTGTTTTGTGTATATCCATTTCCTTTCGGGGCGGCACTTGTGTTATTCTATTCGTGTTTCGTTATAAAAGCGATGGGTCAGGATACGCTGGATGGAGTCAAGCGGATCCTAAAAGGCTGAATTGGGGTTTTATCTTGAGATGGAGGAAAAAGAAAAGGAAAACAAAACACAATCTGGGTTTTTACATACAGGTATATCATACAAGCCTCACGGCTGGCTGTCGGGACATATAAACAGTTGGGAGAAACCCTCCCTGTTCTTTTCCTCTCTTCACCCTGAGTTGGGTTTGGGTACATTGGGTGATCTTGACTTGTTGCGAGGAACTGTGTTATTAAGTATTTATTTATCTTCTTTTTTTTTTTTTTTTTTTTTTTTTTTTTTTTTTTTTTTTTTTTTTTTTTTTTTGGATTGATTGAACTGGCTGCATTGGATACGAATGGGACTGGATGGGACAGGAGCAGGACCGGACTGGACTGGGCTTGGGTGGATTAACATGTTCTGTACTTTGTATATACAACTTTGTGACAATAATCCTAATATTGTCTATTTTGATGACCTTCTTTCCGTCCCTGATCTCTGTGCTGTAGACCCTGCGAACGATGAGGCCTATGCCAGTCGTGGAATGAAGCTAGATAGTGACGTGGTCCAGCTGTTGCAATTGTTCCCTACTTCAAGACGAGGTCTAGCAATATCTAAAGCTGGTTAATTACCTGAGCCCTGAAGGTGTAAGGCCTATCGCGTATCTGGCTTTGCAGAGTATCTGTTTGCATCATAGCAGGTTCGTCTCTCCTGGACTATCTAGCTGAAATGGTTCATCGTGCGCTAGATATTGACCGTTAAACAAAATGGATCAGGTTTAGTGAGGTGTAATTTTGTCCTTCCAGCTTTTAAACACCTCAGCAAAGTCAGACCGTTCCTCTTCTTCGCTCATGTACTCAGCTCCTGGATAAACCATTGCTAACGTATTCGTCATGTCAAGCAAGGGGATCATCGATGGCCGTCCATGTGCACATTGGAACGGAAAGACGCATCGCGCGAGGTTTTGGACAAGGCTTTGACACTCCTCTATCGCCAGTTCATCATTAAACATGATGGCTGTTCGGCAGGCCCGTGAGTTCAACAGCTCAATGATTCCCTGGGGGCAAACATCAAGTTGTTCCGCCCAGCGGTCCTGCCCCAAAACTGATATTCGGTTCTCAGCGCCCCTCCCGTTTTCCTCGCGTTTCCAAATCTCCCCTCGAACCAGATTTGTAACCAACTCTGGCTCGAGCCTGCAGCGCTCGGCGATCAGTATGGGGAGTTTATGCACAAAAATGTATGCAGAATTGTCTGCTGGACCCTGTTCAACAGTGTACTCAACACCCCAAAACTCAAAGAACTGTTTATATCTTCCAAAAGCATATGCCTCGATAACTGGTATCTCAAAAATAATAGGTTCCAATGTGACCGTCTGTACTTGTCTAGAGCCTTCTACTGATGGTGTGAAGTACTCTTCAAATAATCTCTCCACCCGGCATCGCTCATCAGCAGCATGCTGATCAATAAGAACCAGGATTGAATGAGGAACATTGCTATATTCACTCGCTGCCGTAGATCTTATCTTAGCCATGACGAACTTGTGATCAACCTGCGCGATTATCTCCGCCGTTTCCAGATCCTGTCTTCGCAGTTTGCCCCGTACATTTGGCGATCCCAGATTCTCAAACCTGCAAACATCCGTTGAAACATCATCCTGTGCTATGCGTGCTTTGGTGCCATATCCCATTCCAATCACATCGAGAGATTTTTCAGATCGGTTGAAAACAGGGTTTTCCCATTTGTCCATCATTTGCTCAACCCATAAGTTCCGTGTCCTGCTCAGACTTGCCGACCTGGACCTTGTTATACTATCACACGCTTGCATCGTCTGAAGTGATCCTGTTGATTTAGGCCTTTGAACGGCATCGAGAGGTGATCTGGCACCTACTGACTGGCCAGTTCGGGAGTTGATCAGATGACTTCTTCCAGTAAAGGGACCGGTCCAAGGAACAACAATATCACTTCCCGATCCATTCTCAATTTCAGGCACCGTACAATCAGTGTATGCGGATAATGCATCCGATTCCTCAAGCGACCTACGCTTGTTTCTCTCCGGTCGAGTTGGCAGGTTCTCCTGGGTTGAGCCTCGCTCAATGCCATGGGCCTTCTCTGGAGAGGCTGATTTGACTGGTAATCTTGTCGAGCGTGTGTTGAAATGTTCCTGGGCACTTTTGATTCTTGACCACTCTCCAAAGCTTTGACTAACATTTGGCGCAGGCCTTTGGAAATTTGGGAGTTTCAATCGGTCACACAGAGCTTCCTCGCTGTTGAATACTTGACCTGGACGATTTGGTTTACGATCGGGTCTGCTTGTGGGCAATCCGACCGTCTGGTTCTCTGCTATTTTCTGTCTCCTTTTCCCAGCGCGCGGACGTAAATTATGCTGTTTCAAGAATTCTCGTATCATTGCCGCAAGTACATCCAGAATGTGTTGGACAGATTTGTCCGACTCAGGCAATTCATGGCCATCATTGTTGATATTATATGACTCATTAGTATTTATGCGTATATAGAACATAGGCCACTTGTTGACAGCCTTGGTCGTAGGTTTTGTACTTGAACCGCCGTCACGGTCAGGATGCTCTGCTGAGCGTGTCCCCTGAGCGGATATAGATGGGGTACCCGTGGTACCGAAATCAGACAGAGAAAATAAGCGATTTACTTCAGCGTAGAACAAATTGACACTGCTTTTGGGAAAGACTGGATTCATCCCCAAGGAGATAAATTGTATTTTCTTGGTGGGGTTTGGCATAAGGCATATAGCAGCATGAACAGAGAAACCAGGCACGTTAGCTGATACAACATCCCAGCTGTGGACGTTCTGAAGTTCAACCAGCCCTGCCTGCGCAAGGATTGATACTATGCGCTGGAGGTCTAGTTCACCATCGTTTCGGCGACTCTGAGTTCGGGAACGGATGATGATCCTCTTATCTTTAGAAGCTTCAAGGAGGACCATCTTTGTCAAGCTATCGTTCGCGATCATCAACGAGACCAGTAGCTGTCGCAGTTCATCCCATTGCCGATCCAATTCATCATGCCTTTGCAATGCTAAGGCGCGATTTTTCACTCGCACTGGCATGTTTCCAAACAAATCATTGACCGTAACGCTAGTTCCATGACTGCTGAGCCTGAGCTCCTGTTGAACTGGAGCTGGTATCAGCCGTGCGACCGGAGTTGAATGGTGGAACATGATGGTATTTGTGTTGGGGTGGCGAACATGGTGCGAAGTGATGGTCAGCAGTGAAAGTGAAGCCAACGAGGCTAGAAACAGCCCCTTCTGGCCATATACACCAGTGCCGGTATGGTATTTTGACGTATCTGCCAGCGAGTGAGCGAATAACTATGTAGGTGACGCACATTCAACTTACGATGTGCCTTCCCTAAGCCTCCGCTGGGCTCGAACTCGGTTGGTAGAATTCCATCACCGTTGTCATCCACCTTACAACCCCCACGTTGAAAGTCTACCGTCACTGAGACTGTGTGGGCATTTGCGTCCAGCGCGTTCTTCACTAGTTCGACGATCACCCCGTTTAGGTGCGTGATGGATGTGGAAGATTTGAGCTTCGCTACCACTTCGGGCGGCAGGGGCTCAATCCTGCGACTGTTCCCAGACATCGCAGATGGTCAAAATCATATGTACATAACTTACAGAAAGTGATGTCCACCACATATTGCCATTCTGGGGGTTCAAGCTACCTCCATGGCATATAGGCTATTAAAAAAGTATGTTAGGAAGAGGAAAGAAGGAGAGGCGGGAGTTGCTACCATATCAGAATGAAGGTGTTCCCCACGCTCTGGCTAAACTATCATAAATTTTAGCGCTGCCGGCTTCCCGTCGTGACCATGGTCCAATGATAGGGCGTATATCTACTCCGTAATGGACTTGACTATTAATCACTCGATCCAACTATCCAGAATATCCTTCGATAGTTCTGATCCTTTCTTCAACTTTAGTTTTATTTTATTTGCAGATATGTATTCCAGATTACCAACTAGGAGGTAGTAGTAGTAGATATGCAATGACCTAACCAACTTAATGAACTTTGCTTCTGCGGAAGGGAACCTAGCAAATAGGGAACACGTACGGAGTATGGTTAGAACTTCGCCTTGCCTGGAAATTAGTCGGAGTATCTGCACAAACCAAAAGTCCAGAGTTTAATCGGTGGTGACGAAAGGGATGGTGTAAGATACGCGCAATCCTTGCAGAAGCCAAGCCTCTCAAGCTTCAAGATGACCATGAATAGCAACATTTGACGACAGCCACTACGATCATCCTCTCTAGTGAGAAGGCTGGTACATGCAATCCGTGGTTGGAGAAGAAAATCAAAGGCTTTGTTTGACTTTTGGGCCGCTGATGAGGCGGGGATCACGTGCGGCCAGCCCGGCATCTCCTGCTGAAACTCCTGAGGCAAAGGCAACAACCCAACGTCTTTCTGGCTATCCAACTTCTCTCTGGTGCGATAACGACTCCTGCTCCTTATCGGATCCTGTTTGCGTGTCACTACGTTCCTATCTTGGGCTTTAACTTCAAATTTTTGTACTGCGTCTTCGTCCATCTCATATTCCCCGATCTCCTCCCGCTCTTATCTGATCGTCTGCCTTGTCGCATTGACCAGTACCATCTCTCACGACTCAGACACTTTACTGGCCTAGCTGCCTCTCGATACCCTTTGAACGGTTTTGGCTTTCTCGGATTTATACCTGTGCAAGGCCAGAATGGCCACTGCTGAGGGCCCAGCCAGGGCGCATGGTGCGTTTCCCCAAGCGCGATGCCAACGGTGCCTCTGGGCTTAGTGTCTAATGTTTGACTCAGATCGCAATGGGCGCCGTCGCCCATTTTCCAGTTGGATGAAGCGCCTCGCCAATCTCAAGAGCTCGACTGACTCAGGCAGTACTCGATGGTCTAACAAACGCCATGCTATACCTAAACACAAACGGAGTCTGAAGAACAACCCCTACCCGCTGTCCGGCACAGTCAACATCCATGAATATAGCAGTGACAATAATCCATCCGACTTCAGTGACAGTAATGAACAAAGGTCGTGTTCGCAGAGCGAGCCGTCCCTGGCGTACTCCGGGTGCGACAATCAAGTGCCGGCGACCAGTGCAAAGTCTACCGCGCCAACTATCTCTACAAATGGTGATACGGCGATCTCAGATGCTGCATATTCCAAGGCCGGAACAATGGCAACGGTGGGCGGTGGGATCAGTTCCCATGGTGGAGGGGAAGGAAGTACCTTCTCCTCCCCAGCACCGTCAGTACGGTCGCTAACCACCACTTTAACCACCGTGCAATCGGCGGCACCTTCCGGTCATCTTTATAATACGCAGAATACGAACCACGGTATACATCATACAAACTCGCTGCATAGCACCACAACACAACAAGTGCAGTTTTCACATCAATTTCCTCCTTCTCCGGCTACTGCAGTCCCACCCCACCTTGCCCCTCACGGTCACTCCGTTACGTACAGTACTGCGACTGCAAACAACCTTTTGACTGACAATGCCTCTATCCTCACTCTGGCATCGTCCTCCAAGAGACGTCGACGGAACTCATTGGATACCAACGCCTCAATACGTGCCCTCGCCCCGTCGAGTGTTTTCGGTGGTAGCCGCGAAAGTCTGCCATTAAGCGTACTGAGCGGGAATGTGGGAGAGCCGTCGAATACCTCCGCATTCAACGCCCCCGGCGTCCTCAACCGACCGAGTATAGTTGGCCTAGCTAGTGCGGAGCGGATCAGCATCTATTCAGCCTCTGGCGCAACACCTATAAACGGAGGCGGTGAACGCGGGAGCCTGTATGCGAACAAGCCAAGCCCGGGCGTTGGAGATGGCGCCAGTTTTATAAGTGCGGGCCAGTCACACAGTCGGCATGACAGTAACGCGGCGAGTATCTCTGGGGGTGCTGGGACCATGGTCAATGCGATATCAACCGGGCGTATCAGCCGCCGAGGTTCGGGATGGGGAGAAATCACGGGCGATGAAAGTGACGAGGAGAAGCCGAGAGATCGAAAGGAGGAAGAAGAGCTTGAGATCAAGTCTGAAGTGCCGGGGGAGGCAAAGAAGGGCTAGCTTCATGACCGATGGTTGTCCCACTTTTGTGATTGGGGCGATTTGAGATGATGTTACGGACTCGAGGAACTGAATTTCCATGTATAATTTCCGTTCAACATGATGACTAATGCAAAGAAGACAAGGTAGAGAACGTTTATGAGGGAGTTGGTTCGGAGTTTGTTTTTTTTTTTTTCTTTCTTCATTTGGATTCATGCCAGTTCTTCGGGTGGTAAATAGGGTATTTGGACGGACTGCTGATGGACTTGATATCCCCTGCGAATGAGTTTCATTGTCATTTTTTCATTCTATTTTCAATTTTCACAGTATAATAACATGCTAGTCCGGTAATCAGACGGGCTGAGAATATAAACAGGGAATAGAAATAAATGTTCTCTCCATCACAAGGTTATTGACTTCCGAGGCCATTCAATCAAGATGATAATGATACTAATACGTAGTACGGAGTACAGAGTATAGGAGGATTTGTTGTTGTGTATCACGTGAGAGCGATACTCGACTCGGTGATTTTTATATATTTTTTTATTTTCGCCCCCATCTGGGGATCAGTAAGCATAAAACCCTTAACTAAAAAAGAAACCAAACTAAACTCCAATCAGGTATGAACTCGATCGTACCTCTGGGGTAAATCGAGTTCAAACTTCAGCATCACAACCTGAAGATTTCATGCACATACTACTGGACTACGTCCATGAGACCAATGCAAGGGAAGGCATTTTGAAATTGGTTGAGAGTGGGTCGGCGCACAACATGGTACCCTAATGTTTCTGGGTTCCTGAGCACAGTCCCCCTTCCAGCTCTGGCGAATATGATAGGCTCGGCGCTGATGAGAAAATCCATATTCTATTATCAATGGAATAGAGTTTGATTCCGTCCCTAGGTACAATTATGTATCACCTGATTTGTGCTCGGTTCTCCGGTCTTGGTTCGATTTCTGAAGAATTGAAAAAGCGGCGCAGGGGAATGGGAGGATATTCTTTACATGTACATACAATACCAATCGAGCAACTTTCACCTCTGAAGCTGGAGGCATGGTTTCTTTCCAATAGCCGAGGTAGTGGCAGAGATTTTCACGCCAGATCGTCCGTTATGGCAGCCCCCGAGCCGAAAAAGACCGTCGCCATCATTGGCTCTGGAATGGCAGGGCTGGTGTCGGCGTACTTGATCCAGCAAGACCGCAAACGCAGATATGAGGTGGAGGTGTTTGAAATGGTACTTTCGAATACTTGATATACCCTTTAGTTAACGTGGACTAAACAACCCCTACAGCAAGATCAGTTGTCTTTGGACTCTGCCTCGTACACTATAACATCACAAGATGATCATACGTATCGGGTCGATGTACCCATGCGCGCCTTTGATGATGGCTTTCATAACAACCTCAAATTGATGTATGATCATCTCGGTGTAAAATACACGTCGCCGAAATTCATATATCCGCTGTCTACCATTTCCACAACGGATGGAAAGAAGCTGCCTCCACACTTCATCCACTCATCTAGCAATCATCAAGTACCGCCTATCCGACCTGAAGGTTGCGGTTACGTCGAATGGATACTGCGGATCTTGTATCTGGCCGTATGCTATTTCTGGTTTACGGCTTGTTGCTTCCTGGTTGAACCCAGACCAGCCACTCCCTCCCATGAAGGTGAATCATTACGAGAATACCTCTGGCGGATTCGACTACCACGGCACTTCATCAACACCTATTTTCTACCGTTACTGTCCAGCGTGACAACTTGCTCACATAGTGAACTGCTTGATTTTCCCGCGATCGACGCTGTGGATTACGCGAGGAGAACATATCGCCAGCCGCACTATACCGTTGTCGGAGGCGTTCAAAATGTCCAGACCAAGATTTCCAACGCCCAATCTGTAAGGCTCGGCGCAATCGTTACCCAAATCGAAAATGTTGGACCGAAAGTCCAGGTCACATGGACCGACTCGAAAAGCAAGGAGGTCCATTCCAAACAATTCGATCACGTCGTGATGGCGGTCACTCCGAACGTGGTTGGCGCAATCTACGAACCTCTTCGAAAACTCATGAGCTCAATCCCTGTGAACCACGGAGAGGCAGTGGTTCACCGGGACAGATCTTCCATCCCGGATTGTAGCCAGGCACTAGGCAGGTTCGCCGCAAAAACCCGGCAATCTGTGGACCCGACTCAAATTCTGCACATCTGCTCCAACTCCTCGGCAACGGAGGCGATACATGAACATCCGTGTTCCGTTCTAGTGACGAGTTTTCCGATCGTTCCTATAGACCCCACTAAGGTTATCCATCGCGCGCGACTAACCCGCGTTCTACGAACCCCACAAAGCAGGAAGATCGTCAACCGGATATTCGGCGGACATCTCCAGCATGCATACCAAGAGAAGGAGAAGATCTGGCTTAATGGCACCGGGAACGTTTGGCTTGCTGGCGCCTGGTGCTGGGACGGAATGGTCCTGCTCGAGGGATGCGTCGTTTCCGCCATGAGAGTTGCCGCAAGCTTAGATGTTGAAGTTCCATGGCCGATGGGCCAATGACTACGTTTTAAACGATGTTCTACAGTGACGAAATGATGTATATACAGACAGGTATACTTATACGTTGCCGTCTATTCACATAATTCTGCCAGTTCAGGAAATATTGGCATCCTTGCATCCAACATAGTTAATGTTACACCTACCTTCACATGCTACACTTTAAGATAGATAGCCGACTGTTTTGCCGAAGAGCCGCGGTGCGAGGATGCAACTACCCTTGATGGCGAGCTACCACCACAAACCCTCGCAACACCCCAGTCTTTGCCCACAAATTGAATGCCTTCGCGGCTCCCTTGAACTTGCCCACGGTCATCCCATATCGCTTTAGCTCCGCGTCTTGTTTTCGTATGTAGTTTGCAATGCCTGCGAAGACGTGTTCTGAGATATCCCTCATCTCAATCATATCATGCTCATACCCAGCCTGGACCAGCATATTCACGTATTCCTCCTCCGTAAGGAAGTTCCCATACGGCATACCGGATATAAGACACATCAGTCGTAAAACTAGCTTTTCCCATAACGACGCAGATTCCGAGATCAGAAGGTCGAATGCCATGATTGAAGCCCGCATATCTTGACACGCATGTTTAAGCAACGGGTCTCGAGACGGCTTGTAGTGATACATTGTATCTAGGGCTAACAGCCATCTTTGTGTCTTCTCGCTCCCTATATCCGTGCTAGTGGCTTCATTCTTGCTTTCAGCATGACCAGAGTTGCCTAGAGTGGCTTGCTGAAGCTCATTCCCCCAAGACGAAGGGTCCGCTGCGTCAGCGGCAAAAATCTTTACATCTGGTGTCCATTCTGCAGAAATTTCGGGATCCCCTTTGGTGTCGTTTGAGAGTCTTTCTTGAGCAAAATCTGCTTGAGATTGCTCAATAGTCACGCCCACGTATGAGTCGAACAGTGGTCGACCTTCGTGAGTGCTCGACCCTCGTCTCTTTCTCATCTCCCTGCTGTGGAGACCGCTACCGTTATCGACAGCTGTCTTGATCCCATTGGAAGAGGTGGCAGTGACGGAGTCAACACTGACCCTAGAGAGTCTTCTTGTTAGGTATAAAGACTGGTCGCCGCAGCCAATCCCAACATCAACCAATCCAATGTTTTGGTGATGTGCCTTGATGGGTGTGCCATCTCCATTGAGAAGCTTTGCAGCGATGAGGACTTGTTCTAAGAGTGCTTCGCAAGCTTTAGTGAAAGAGCTCGTATTCTAGAATTTTGGTTTTAATTTTCTTCCAACAAAAGCTAGGCGCATAGGAATATCGAAGTACTGGGTAAAAGACAGAAAAGGGTCTCAAATACTCATTCTTACATACCTTCCAATATCCCATGTTCATCCACATGCTTCTAGGGGGTACCTCCATGCTAAGAATGGCATGGTCCAATGAATACAGCTTTTTGTCATCGACACCAATTATGTACTGGATAACACGCTCAATGACACCTAGCACCATGGCTAGGAGACCTTTTATTTGCTTCATAGTCTGGAGGTACACCTAATCAGTATTTGTGCTGCATCAGGGGGTTTCTAATGACTGACTAAATGGGACGACAAGAATCAATATTGGCCATGAGCCATACGTTTAATTCCACTTTTCTCTCGGAACTTCCTACTATGTGCAGCAAGGCGGGTACAATGACGATTGTTAGAACTAGGAGAGTCGAGAACGGCTTTTGATTGATAGACGCTTCAAAATTGCTATTTCTTGGCATTTATTAGTCACATGCTGTTGGCATAACTATACAACAGGAAGGATGTTTGATTTGAGACGCAGCATATTTGACTTACACTTTTCTATATCCATTATTTCTTTGAGCTCTAGATTCCAGGGGAACTACGGCTAAGATATGCATTCTTGGATTGGACAGAGTTGGGTTTACTGGAAAAGTTATGATACATTGTAGACAGTTGCTTGAAACTGATTTTCAGACCAAATGTTGGCTTCTCCAGAGTCTAGATGAATACAATGGCTTTGGACTAATTTTCCAGCCCGGTGGTCTCCAAATGAGCGTATGACGGCGGCATAGAGGCACTTGAGCAACCAGTCATTGGTATATCCTTCGACCAGCTATATCCAACTTCATAGATGCAGGGATTTACATCCATACAACCTTTCCTATAACCAAGTTCATAAAAGTAGATTCACAGTGCAACACAATAGGGTATAAAAAATAAAATCGCATACATTGATAGAATGGCTAAAAGGCTAGTTCAAGTTGTGACTGGCATAAAGATTGGAATATACTTCCTATTCGGGTTAAATTCTCCATCTTCAATGTATTCACTAATCGTTATTCAACAATTGCCAAGTCGCACCTTAGCTAGGCTTTGATACACCTATAGCCGAATTTATTTCCGGATAGACTTGATTCGGGCATATCCTACGGAGTATACCCCCAGTGAGGATGAAACTACACTGACCAATGAGCTAGTTAGCTGCAAGGCATTTTTGAAGGCGGATAGCTGTGTATATTAAAGTCATCACTGGAATTATAATTTTGATCATACTATTTACGGGCTTGAATGAAACATCCGCCAGATTGCCGAGTAGATGGTTGAAGACCTTGACTAGGGCTTACATCCCTGAATCTATAATGAAAAGTAACGAGGTAAATAAACAACGTGGAAATAATATGCCGTTGTTAACTATAGGGTCATAGGATTTCTAATCCGGGCAGGGTATCATATCACGACTAGGACAATTATATATATATATATATATATATTGATACGAGGATCTTCTCGTCATATGCTAATGTTATTGATAAGTACTGTGAAGGTGTGGATGCTGGTAAGCAGGCAGAGGTTGAACAATACTCGAGAGCCATGGATCAGTCCGAGATAATTTCATGGATTTACCGAAAGCCTACTCGAGTAGTTTAGGGCTACCTAGGCCGTTAGAGCAGGTAGCGGAAAACCAGAGAGGAGTCGCAAGGGAAAAAGCAAAAAAGGCCACTTCTACAAACTAATCCAAGTGGGATGCAACTAAATTAGTACTATATGATGTGATCGGATTACTTACTCGATTTGTTGGTTTTTTCCCTTTTGAAGACTGACACTGAGATACTTGCAGAACAGGAATGTAAATAAGGATAGAAGAATATACCAATTATTTTGTATAGTTCTATTAGTAGTAGATATTGAGCATGTCTGGACTCGTCTATGACATCCATCCTTCCACTCTGTCGGCCTCTACTCGGCAATACTGCGGCCCGTTGAACTCGTCGATCACGCAGGAACCAAGATGGATTGGTAAGCAATTTTGAGTGATTTCTTTTTGTTTCGCGCGAACCGCGCATCGGGCAAACCTAAGCAGTGCCCTTGTTCCAGTACCCTACAGCCTCAGCTCCATCCACCAACCAGAATAACCGGCGGGTGCACGGAACTTTTTCGGCTCTAATACGAGGCTGCCTTTGGGCGACAGACTACTAAGATGTATACAATGCACTACAGAGTATGTACGTATGGCACATACTACAGGGGAAAATATGAGGGTCTCAATACAGGAGAAGTCTGTGAGGGAGGTAAACATGCCATCTGGCGAGCAATGAATCAAAATAAGGAGAAAGTGAAGAGAATGAAAAAAAAGGAAGAGAGAAAGAAGAAAGAGAAGGGAACGAAATAATAATTCAAATTAGAAAAAAGTAGAAAAAGACCACAATTACCTTTAACAGGAATTGCTTGATACGAAACTTAATCTCCGAGAGCATGAAATACGACTTCATTGTTAGGTCAGATGCTCAGTCCGGTTTAATTCAATGGTTCTTTTGGTTCCGCATGCCGACTTCGGCCACCGAGAGAGGGATGATTCGGAATCGATGTCATGGCCGCGGAAAATGGTGGCGACAGAGGAATCCTGGTCTTCCACCCCATAAATAAATATCCTTGGATTTTCTGGTGACTACGATGTTATATCATCGTTCAATTTGTAGTACTCCGTAGTTTTAAGGAGAAGAGCAATGGACTAGGACAGAAGTATAACCCGTTGTGGGCCATCATCGTACTCCGTAGTGGTTGTGTGTGCACGTTGGTTTTTGAAAGATAATTACCGATTGATATGACAAAGCACGAACCACACTTAACTCAATTGGTTAACGGTTTCCCTCCACCCCCCCCAAAAGTGCTTAATCAGCTTTTTCGCACCCCCACCCGAACAAATTCCATTCCCCATCGCCCATCTCCGGTCCCACGTCCCACAGTCATTCGATTGTTTCTTGTTTCCCCTCTCTTTCCTCCCCTTCTCTCTTTGACTAACCATACCTCTTTTTTACTCCGTCATTCTGCCTCGCAATTGCCAATCGACCCCTCTTGACTTGTACGCGGTTAAGGCGGCCACCAGCGAAAGAGCATTATCACTCCGGAACCATATATCGTCGAGTCATTTTCCCTCGATCAGCCCCGAGCCTCCCCAGCGGAACAAAAGGAACATAAGGAAAGAAGGAAACTGAAAGGAATATCGAAAAGAGAGGTCTCAAAAACCTCAACGGTACACCATGACCGAATACAATGGCCGCAGGGCCCCCAACTTCTCTCAATACCTCGACGACTTGAACGCTATCCCGTCACCATACGATCAGGCTGTCCAGCAGCAGCAGGGCTCATACAGCCTCGATGCAGACCTCTCCCTCTTCACCAATGCCGAGTTCTTCGATTTTGATAACTTTGGAGATTTGAACCTCCCCGGGTTTGACTCGGTGGAGGGCGACAACTTGAAGAAGAAGGAAAGCAACCAAGCCGCGGGCCACAACTCAGATATGGAATTCTTGGATCTTCTCGGTGGTAAGTTGGAATTTCTTCTATAAAATATACTATCCCTAGTGTTTTTGGACCGGTCTCATTTTGTTGAAACTCATTCGGGTCTTTCTTTCTTTCTTTCTTTCTTTTTTTTTTTTAACACACCAGATTTAATTTGCCTTACACTGGGCGAGTCTGTTGTTTCTGTCACAAGTCTCCTGCTTTTTCCATGTGCACCAGTTATTTCAGGATATCGTCATGGGGTCCATAGACCCATATATTTGCACAATGCCTGTCTCGGATCTTCGAGGCATAGATGCATCCTTTAAGCTACACGCTATTTGCACGCACCCTCATTGGAGCATGCCTGCATTTAACCCCTGTTAAGCAATGACCAAGTTCAAAATTCTCTGTTCAACTAGCAAGGGTCTTGGGTTGGTGCCGATAGCGTGAATTAGTTACGTGATGGCGTCATTCCACGTGACCTCCGCTACGGTCGCATTCGGCTTCATGGGGCCATCTCTCGTCTGCGTTCATGTTATTCGCCTTTTCATCAGCTCGGTCTTGCAGTAGCTTTACCTTGATTTGACAATGATCATGTTCTAACTCTGCTTCAAGGCTTTGGCAACATGCCCGAGTATTCTGCTACCGGCTTCAACTCCGTCAATGCTCAGCCCCAACCTGCATCTCTTCAGAATGCACAGTTCTCGACTGTCCCACAGATGCCGAATGGATCCCTTAATGCTGCCTCTAGCCCGAACGAGTCCGTCTCGACTTCATCGCCATCGCCTGCAGCACAATCGCAGGCCCCCGCTCCCCCTGCCTCTACCTCGTCTTCCGCCGTCGGGACGAAGCGTAAGAACACTCAGAAGTCGGCTGCTATGAGTGTGGAGGAGGCAGCGCGGGTTGCAGCAGAGGAGGATAAGCGTCGGCGTAATACTGCTGCCAGTGCGCGGTTCCGCGTGAAGAAGAAGATGCGTGAGCAGGCACTTGAAAAGACTGTCAAGGAGACAACGGAAAAGAATACTGCGCTTGAGGCCCGCGTCACTGCTCTGGAGCTTGAAAACCAGTGGTTAAAGAATTTGATCACAGAGAAGAACGGGCAATCATCTGAGGAAGGCAAAAAATCTGAAAATGATATTGCGGACATGTTCAAGAAGTTCCTTGCTTCGCAAAAGGCTGAGGGCCAACGGAGTAGTGCTGAGTCGAGGATCGGTGTGGGCACTGCTTAAATGGAATCCAATTAAAGTTACGCTGATTGAATGGCGTTATGTCATTGTGTTTATGTTCAGGTTTTCACTTCTTGTTCATACTTAATTGGAGCATTAGGAGACAGGGGAAGGCGTCTCGGGTTGGTGGGAGGCATGAGTGATGATTTTCAAACGTTTGATGGTTCAGACTCCACTCCAACGTGGTAAAAAAGATGGTTTGTTTATTCTTTGGCTTCTCACGTTTTATATCCCAGTCTACAGGTATTTCAACATTCTACAATAGATGGCTATGTGCAGCCTACATAGCTGCAAAGTTTTAATCATATCGATATCATCCTCCATGGACTATTCTATAGCACTCTAGATGCCAAGGCAAGCTTCTATCAGAACTCTGAAAGCAAGGCGAAGGATAGAATGAAAGAGGTCCCTGTTATTCCTAGTGAAGCTATAGAGTTTCTCGATAATGCGCAGGACCTATGCTTTGCTACCACGTGGGTTTCAGCAGAAACCATGAAACAGCTTGTAAAACGTCTATCAAGTTATTCTGCTGGAGGATTTGGAGAAACCCTCGGCCGAAAGATCAGTTTCAAATTCATAGTCTTGCTATGCATACATGGTGGGAGAAGATACGCACATTTATTTGGTAGAAGCCGTGTTGTTGCCTTTGAATCCAGCAAGATAAGGAACAGATGCAGGCCCCTGCCTAGGGTATTGTCTCGGAGCAAGGTGAAGCATTCAAGACCTCTAGTACCGAGCGACATACGTCAGCCTGACCAGCCTACGCAAATATACCCACATTATGCATTTTTTATGTCGAGTCTCTCTTTCGGCATTGTTGATGTAGCTGAAGCTATACAACTATGTAAGTAGTGAGTGTATTTTATCGACGATCACCATGTCCCTATCACCACGTGACCGCATTTGTTGATGGCCCGTGCAAATGAAGTCGTCTTAAAGACTGGAATACCCACCCCACCGCCCATCTTCCAACCATACCTATCACCCCGGTGGGATAATGCGCAAGAACTCAGTGCAGCTATAGACGCCACACAAAGCGGCGACCGAACCAATGGCGCGCCTGAGGACAGTCCGCGCACCCACAACCGCGAGTCTTCCCAGCAACCTCCGCATCCCCTCAACAACGCCATCGCTGGTGAAGTCATTCGGAAAGCTCACCCGACAGGCATTGCTGGACCTCGTGTTCTACTGGCTGGACGATCGCAATGTCCAGTCCTTCGCGCCATTCCTGGAACGAGACGAAGCCGAAGACGTGGACGATGAAGAACTCGGCCCGTACCCGGCCGAGCGGACCATCGACGACGTGCGCAATGCATACCAGGAGCTACAAGTGCGAAAGGGCGGGAAACGAGAAGTGATTGATCGCATACTCGAGGGCGACTGGAGACACGGTATCACCTTGCGCCAGCTTGCGATGGTTGATCTCCGCTACATAGATGACCACCCGTCAAGTTTGCGCTGGACGGCGCTGGAGCTCACTCGCATCGACGCAGATGGAGCGCAATCGCCCGAAACCAACGCTTCCTCCTATATTCCGCGCGTTCATGCCTCGACTTTCCTTAATAATGTTCAGCAGCAAATCTCCCCTCTGGTGAAAGCGCATTACTACCTCGCCCGCTCTAATACCTTGCCCCTCACTTTCCTTCGTATATTGGTGACCAATTCGCCCTATCAGCATCCTCGCCAGTCATCTGGGATGCTTACAGACTCGTCAAGAGTGATATATGTTGCTTTCCCGGAGAGTTGCCCCTTCGTTTACACGTCCATTGCATCTTCTACGAGCTCCAAAGCCTCCTCCACCAATGCGGTCGGAACAGATGCCCGGAGTTTACAGCGCATCGTGCGCGACGCCGTCCCGAAAGCGCTATCTCTTCCTCAACGAAGATACGCCCTTAAAGCAACGTCATTATCAACGAAGAGTCTACAAGCACTGTTAGCGCTCCGAGGACCAGGTCGCTCGAACGGAGCGAATGGCGCGTTCAGCATATTCGCCGATGCCGTGGTAGAAGGGAGTCCGCTGGACCCACGACCAGCGAATACAGTTTCCCCCGAGGAACTCATGAACCAAACCGAACTAGAGAAAAATAAGAATCAACCCACACAAGATCAGAAAGAAATCGAAACACATCAACCAGGAAGAAAACCCCGCAACTCAGAAGAAGACACTCACATTCCAAAAAAGCGCAAGCTTGCCATCCACTCGCGCTTCGGAACTTCTGGGTCTCTGTCGTCTGCGCCTCTGGACCGTCTTGACGTTAGGCTTCTAGACCGCCCTGATGGACATGGAGATGATGAGGATAGCGATACCGATCACACACAACCGTCCCTCTCACTTACGTTTGCCGGCTCGGATGTTATCAGCGGGATTCGTAAGCTCGCAGAACTGGGTGTCGTTGATCCAGAGAAAATGCCTTCCTGGATGACGGGTGAAGAGGCTGTGAGCGTCGCGGTAGTTCTTGGAGGACAGCGTGTGATCAAGGATAGTGGATGAAATGGGGAAGTCATTGACCTAATGCATACTTTCACGTTCCCCGTGACATGACGCGACGAACTGGGGTTGACGTGTCTCTTCCCGAAGGAGTCGCTTTTGAGCGATATATACATGTATATGCCCGTGCGCGGTCCGAATCAGGCAGTCTGCGATCCGCGAAAGTTCCACCACTCGTCCCTGTCTATGTTCTTCCCTTGACAAAGGTTTAGACCTTATCGGGTAAAACGAGACAAGACCGCCACCATGGTGTGGGAAGGTAGCATGGTGGAGGCTTATCTATTTGGGTGTGGACGAGTGGATGGTGAGCGGAAGGGTTGTGCGTTTGAGAGCGGATGCCTGCTTGCGCCATGTGGCTAAGAAGTTTCTAAAACCAACCGAACATTTGTGTTGTCAATTTACATAGAATTCCCCAACAGCATTCTTGGTTAGCAATAATTCAAGGGTATCTAGCTAGTCCTGAAAAGCAATAAACTACAAACGCCCATACAACTCCCAATAGGTAACAAACCTCTCACTGCGCACCATAGTTGCCGCCAGACCCCAGCGGGCTATGCATCGAATGACTAGTACCACACAGCTTCATCTCAGTCAACGTTGAAACGCCTGCGACTACGCGAACCATAAAGATACGATTGTCGGGAGACCCAGAAAGGATGATATGTTGAATAGTCTAGGGGAAAGAGTGTCAGTATGGGTCTGGAAACAAGGGAGAAGGGATGATGAGGGTGACTACAAAGATGGTCTCGTACCGCGTTGACCGGAAAGGCCTAGCTGACTAGCCACATTAATGTATCCTTCTGCAGTCGCTTGTCCGTGAGCTCTGAGCTGCTCCAAGTTCACGTCGCTGGTATCTGCCTGCCATGGGGAACGGCTGATAATGTCTTAGTTCTAATCTAATAGCCGAGGAATGCGCAATCAAACGTACCAATAAACGCAGCGAACACCTTGAGAACGCTGTGTGACAGCCCATTGTTGGAAGCATGTTTTGTGGATATTATTTCCGCACGCCGCTCGGCACCAGACGATCTCCTCTCTGTCAGGTTCAAACTCCATGAAGCAGATTGGACACTCTCCTTCAACGGCCTTCCTCCTGCCACCGTTGTCATCGTCAACCTTGGTCTGCTCACGACTCAAAGAAGATCCTTCATAGATCTCACGAAGTTCCTGAGTAATTAGTATTAGATTAGGAAGTGTACAGTGATGCGTGCTGAATGGCTTACCATAGATAAGAATGCCAGCTGATACTGTAGGTGTTGCGGGGCTTTGAGAACATTGACTAGAACTTCACGGGTACGGTTATCAGAAACCATAGGAACGCCAATAATGATACAATTGAAAACAATAGTAGTATTAGGAATGGTGATAGCACATGAATTCAACTTACCGTAACAAATATGCTTGCACTGGTTCCCTTTTCGAGCATCCGGACAGGTGCAGGTCGGCTCCTTCCCGATCACTGTCGTGTAGATGTTTCCAGTTGTCCCAGCAATGTCAAAACTCATCTCGGGAACATCATCAACGCCGGTGACAGTATGTCCTAGGACGAACATTCTAGACAAAAACATCATCAACTGTAAGCGAAGGAATCGACATATGATCTGGATTAACGGCACACCTCTGAGTTGTTGCACGGTTCAATCGCTGCAAGAACGTTTGTGGTGGCTTCCGGCGAAATACTCGAGCTCGACGTTCAGTTATCCTCTCGTCTGGTGATTGCTTGGTCCTTGCGCTTGGGGTCTTCTTTTGTAGACTGGCAACAGGTGAGTCGCCAGTCAAATCGATCACATCCTTCGGGTCCGTAGGGATCGCTGGACGATCGCCGCCATTTATACGAGTACGTTTCGCAGATGTAGATGTGATACTGGTCTTTTCGTCGGCGCTTCGCTTTCTTCTTGACGTAGGTGTACGACCAATGGGTGGAGTTCGAGTATGGTCTGCGGGCGACGACGCAGTAGTGATCTGTTGTCTGGAGGAGGCTGTCCTCGTAGCACCCATCCTGTCAAAATAGCTAGACTAGACACAATACTAAATATGATAGAATCGAGTATCGAATATTGTTGGCGCAAATAGTCTTCGCTGTGGCGGTCCTGCGGGAATAGCGAAAGCGATAGCGATAAGCTTTTCCGTTCAGGAGGCTAGTATAATCTTGCGGTCTCCTAATGAATGAATTGATGTATCTTGCTCTGGATCGTTTCCTGCAGGTCTGATAGAGACACGGCACTTATGAAACAGTGAGAGAAAGTGGAGAGCAATTCAGCGGTACAAAGGGAAGGTTAAAAGCAGGAAAGCAAGCTCTTTTGTTATCTATCAATTCCTTCACTGATCCGATGGATCATATGCGGAGGTTTGTGGTGTTTGGTATGTTTGCCTGGTTTGTCTGTCACATGTCATGCTGATAACGATAGAGGGAGTGAATACTTTTGACAACACTCCCCGCCAGGTGCATTGTCATAACTAGTTCACCATTTACACCAATGGCACGTCCACGCGCCCATTCAGGCGCTGAGGCCTCCAAAGAGCCCCATTCAGTTTCCTTAAAAGGTACGCACTACTGGTAGTTGTCAAAAGCGGCGCCCTGACTGACATGTGCGTAGTTTTGCGGTAAGCAATATGCGTTATGTAGATGTCAACTGCCGATCTGACTTTGAAAGGCTATCGCGGCCTTCTCTGTCCTACCAGTACCCTCTTCCGGAAGCAAACACGAAGATCTCCAACAAAGCATCTTTAAGTTATCCTTCCGATAGTGTGGACAACCAGTTTATTCTCGCCCCCAATGTACGACTGCAATGAGAAGTTACTAGCTTCGACGAAAGAATTATGAGTATCTGCTAACACATAACCAAAGCTTACGTTACCTCCTGCATTTGGGTCTGCTTATGTTGGAGAAACATTTGCTTGCACTCTTAGTGCGAACAATGAGCTCGCAGAAGATGAGACCTCGCGTGTTGTCACGTCAGTCCGTATCGTGGCGGAGATGCAAACTCCATCTCAAGTAGCATCTCTTGAGCTAGACCAAGCGGATGACACAGCTGCGAGAGATGGCCTACAAAAAGGGCAATCATTACAGAGGATCGTACGATTTGATCTCAAGGAAGAAGGGAATCATATCTTGGCGGTCAGTGTTAGCTACACGGAAACGCTAATTGGATCAGACTCGCAAGCGGCCAGTGGGCGAGTGAGGACTTTTCGCAAACTCTACCAGTTCGTTGCACAGCCCTGTCTTAGTGTTCGGACAAAGTCTTCCGAGTTGTCCCCGTTAGAGGTCGAGAATAAGTCTTTAGGGCCCTATGGAAAGACTCGGCTGCTCCGCTTTGCCCTCGAAGCGCAGTTAGAGAATGTGGGTGATGGTGCCGTAGTTGTGAAGGTAGAGAGAAAAAAGAGACTTCTTTTTCATATCTGGGACTCTAATGCCTTCGTTAGCAAACGAAACTGAACCCCAAACCCCCATTCAAGGCAACCTCCTTGAATTGGGAACTCGCAAGGCCGGATCAGTCCGATTCACAACCGCCGACATTAAATCCACGTGACGTTCTCCAGGTTGCTTTCCTCGTTGAGCAAGAAGAAGGACAACAGGAAGGGCTAGATGCCCTACAGAAAGATCTGAAACATGACGGGCGAGCGGTTCTAGGTCAATTGTCCATTGAGTGGAGGGGGACTATGGGAGATAAAGGGTTCTTGACGACCGGAAACTTATTGACGCGAAGACGGACATAGTATTTACAAAGCTTAAGCTGGTTATCCTTCGGTGTAACCTACGCGCCTATCATCACAAGCTCTAGGGGAATCGCCGGTCTTTAGGGAATTTTGCTCGAAACAGTTGATTTGCGATCTTGTGCTGCGGTACTGGCGCGCAGTACTAAAAACTTGGGATAGATGACCAATTGGCGAGATAAGCTTTGGACTGTTCCAGGGCGGATAGCCAAGCTCCAGGCGTGCCACAAGTGCAACAGATCTAGGCGCAGCTACATTTTGAATTCCTTTGCGGCGGTCAAGTTACACAGACTAACAGGAGGTTGGAACTACTAGTAGTTGGCTTAGCCGTGAGCTGCCAAAAGTACGGCGGAGTTTGATGGCAAGAGAAATGCCCAGCCTTGTCCAAATTGAGATATCCGTTGTTTACCTACTCCTCTTTGATATGATGGCATGCAGTGTCGAGGCGCTGTGACGTGAGTTTGACTAAGCTTTGCTAGAACTTTGGTTGGAAAAGTATCTGGCGATAACCTCAGACGAAGTCTAGAAGCCGAAAGACAACAACTTTTGCAAACGCTCATTGGTCTTTTTTGACCGCAACATCCATCATGAAACTGGTATTTTGTCTCTGTCAGCAGTCTAGAACCCCTTGCCGGACATTTTTGCATTACATTTCTATAAAAAGGTATCAGCATGTATGGATCGTATTTTTAGGACCATGGTTATTAAACCCCAGCCCAAGCCTGGTGGGCTTAAGAAGTGAGCGGTGGCATAGCTCAGGAAGAAGCTCTTCCGGGATATTTATGGCTAGAATAATTTCTGGGAAAATCTTAATGCTTCCAAGAGGCCTGGAGATAGCGGTAGGACGACGTACCATACAGTACGGTATTTATGGACTCTCCCAAGACGGGAGATAGGATACACGCCTCAGGCACCAACCACCCCCTTTTTCAGCTGTCAGTAGTGCACGTTTCCACTACGCATAACCAGCCAACGGAGCCAAAAGTCCACCCTGCTGGCCTGTACAGAGTGAAGGTTGCAAGGCACTTTCTGTATGACAGCAAGTAGTACACACTAGCGCGGGGGACTAGTCGCGCGACAAGACAAGGCCACTTATCAGCGATGATTCGCTTCCTCAGAGGACTTACTAGTAAAGATGTTCGATGGCCATGTATGATGCATGCCAATGCAGGTCGACCAGGCCGGTAGGGGAGTAGCGTCATGTAAGGAACAAAGTCCTGTAACTTAACTACCGTTCCTCTGTCCATGGGTTTCATGGTCAATGGCCTTTTCTGATTGAATATTGAGAAGACGGTTATTCCCAAGTTTGCGCAGGGTGATCCAGCTTGGGTTAGATCTACATGGTCCTTAATACGCCGTGAGTCATGATGAAACCATCTAACTAGAGTACACCTCATGGTTCTACAACAGGAGTGTTTATCTCCTTCTGTACTCTATACAGGCATGGACGCGTTCAATTCGGAGAGAGAAACTCTTGGTTGCATGTTGCCTCAAGATTCCATTGTCTATGATTATCTTGATCCCTGACTCTTAATCTAGCGGACTGCCAATTATACCCGGTGAACCACTCCCCTCTTTGTTCTGATTTTTCTCACCGATCATCCGTTTCCTGTCCATGGATGAAATTTGGATGACACTCTCCAATTATCATTGAGATCCACTGGCGATCGGCACGGCCCTGGGTTAAGCGTTCCTAACCACTATAAGTATTATTGGCGACTTTGACTAAGATGAATAGAGGGTTCTGCACAGTATACTCCGTAGTTAGAGTAACGATCACACCACAGTTTTCTCTATATATGGAATATACACCACCACCTCCTTTTTCTCACTGGGATGCTAGTAGTGATGTTTGTTTACCCGCCCAGACCTCCAGTTTGTAAAAATCTCATGATAATGAATAATAGTAATCCACAATGTGGATGGTAAGAAACAGACGAGATAATAATAGCACCTTGAGTATGGGTGATAGAACCAAATTTATGTCTTTCTGATCTTTTCATTCTCTCAGTAGAGGTTCCAGTGGACAACGTACTGTATGGACAGATATGATACAGTACCATAATCAGCCTCTAACCTCGGCAGAACCCGTCCCCTACGCTACGGAGTACATGGAGAGGAGGAAATCGGCCTTAGGTGCCCTCTTTAGGCAGGTCCATTGGACGATTGACGATGGGGTCCCCAATGTCTGTCTACCATTTGCTTCCATGAATGACTCTCCTCAAGGGGATTCCGGCCAATCATGGTAAGAGGCAAGCCATCTCCAGACCATGGAGACTCCGCTATGCCAAATTCTCGGTCTCGGTAGGCTAGGGCGGATGGACTTGTTTATAGTAACGGCCCCTCTTCAGGAAGAGACTACGTACTTAGTGTAAAGAGAGTCTCGGGTGTGGAAATACCACCTTACTCCTGGAGTATAGTCCCTATCACGGAGTGGATTGACACCACTCAGGTGAAAGGCAGTCCGATCCGATCGGGAAAAAGTCCAAGGCGATCCAAGACATAAAAAACCCCTAAGAGCGGTATCTATCCTAGTGTCAGGATTGGCATTATAAAAAAAAAAAAATAAGAGTAAAGGGACCTATTGTGGTTCATTGTTATTTTCAGACCTCCATTAAAGTAGAGTCTCACACACATTGAATGCGGGACCAGTTCCGCCATTCTCTCAGAGTTTTCGGAGGGACGGGAGGTACAGAACACATCCGGACTTTTAGTACAGGGTACACAGCAGGGAGTCGTAATGCTGTGTTTCCATGGTTCTCTTGAACGGTAGTTCTTTCGCAGCAACCTAGCTAGCAGGAACAAATGGGAAATCGAACCATGGCAGGCCAAGCAATTGTGCACGTCTAGGCTCCACTGGTCCCAAGGATTGATATTTCTCCTGTCCCCTGGATTTTCTGAAATGATACGACTGGTCTGGGTAATACACCCTGACATCGGGGAAATTATGCTTAGTTGTTATTATTGTCTTGGTCGCAGCATCTGAAGAAACTAGTCAGAGTCGGCGGTGTGTATGAACATCTGTGCGTGTGTGGGTGGAAAGTGGGAGAGAGGGTTTGGTGGTTGGATGGGGGATGGGGGGATGTATCAAAGTTTAGGCGTCTGGAGGTACACTTGCAGTAGTTTGAACCTCATTGGAGATTGATGGCTGTATCTCCTGCATGGATGGGGACCAGGAATCCCTATCGAGTGGCTTAAGCAGATAGATGTACGGATACCTGCACGTTTATTGTTTCCCTTGCCTGGGCTTTTGGGAATATCTCTTTTTCTTTTTGTATTTCTTTTTTTCTACTTTTTTTTTTTTTTTTTTTTTTTTTTTTTTTTTTTTTTTTTTTTTTTTTTTTTTTTTTTGCTCACCCCGAACTTTTTCGTTTTGAAGAGTGTCTGATGGAATGAATGTAAATAACCAAATCAATTCCTAATTAAACAGGAACAATCTCCCTCCCAACCATTTTGGTTTGCGTTCTTGTCATTGTCATTTCGTCTAAATTATTTGATTATTTTGCTTTTCCATATTTTTCTTTCCTTTTCTTTTCTTTTTTTTTTTTAAAAAAAAAGAAAAATTTTGAATTTTCCCTTTTGTGTCTGTGTTTGCTCGGTATAACACGCATCAGTAAGTAAGTGGGTACCTACAGCTACTGGCAGCTGGCCCTAAATATCTTAGGTCGTAATAGTGATGGTAATAGTTAGCCGGCAGGGAGGAAGAGACAGGCACAAGAGCGAAAGTTGTTGTTGTGCACTGACAGTTCAGTTTACCGGTTGTGCGTGTGCGGAGCGGAGACAGAAAGTAGGAGAGAAAGAGAGACGGACTACCTACTAGTTTTTGGCTGCCGTTTCTCTTTTCCCCCTTCTACTATTTGACTACTTTACTTAGTAGTCTTGTCTACGCAACCATCCGTCTCTGCATCGGACGTTCTTTTTATATTTTTTCCAAAAAAAAAGAAAAGGAAAAATTAAAAAATTGGGAAAAGAAAAAATTAGAGGAGTCAAGATCTAAAAAGGAAAACAAAAGCAAAAAAGAAAAAAAGAAAGCTCTATCGTCCATATCCTATTTTCCAAGATTCCATTGTCATATCCAATTCCGTTTTCTTTTCTTGTTTCCCCCCTCATCCAATCCCGTCCATCATTTACTCCTTTTTCTTGTGAATGCAAGTGGCACTAAGAAATCCAACCCCCAGACAAATTTTCCTACGCAACAACACAAAAACCTCATTTCTGCTCCCTTCTCATATCCATTCCTATCGTCTCGGAACTTTCTCAACAACCTTTCCGACTTTGCGACAGCGTCGCGATTCTAGACTTATGTGTTCTCGTTCCTACTGTCGTTACCAATCTATTTATTCCGAAACCTCTGATCGCTGAATTTCACACACCATACCCTTGTTGATGCTGGTGGAGAATTCGTAGTGTCCAGAGTTGGATTCACTCCATGTTGTAACGAAGTCCACGAATTAAGACGATTGATGATTACAACCCCGCGATCGCCTACCGACGATTCGACGAGATGCCGTTCTCCTCCTCCTCCTCCTCCTCCTCCTCCACCCCCGAGGTGTCTACCACCCCGCTCGCAGATTACTTCTGGATCGCTGGTGTTGATGGCACGGAAATTTTGGAGACTTTTCAAAGACTGGGCGACGAATACAGAGCAAACAGTGCCACCTCCCCTGGCCCCGCTCTTGCGGACACTATCGAAGAAGATGCGGACGCGGAGGAGGCACACGATCCCCGTCTGGACTCCCTCTCTCGACCCAATTCCATGGCTGGAGGCCGCAATTCCTTCCAGCGATTCTCAATGCGCTCGGGAGATTCCAGTGAATCCAGCGGGAATGGTACCAGCAGCAACCGGAGCAGTCTAACCATTAAGGGCAATCCATCGCCCAGGGGGTCATCGTTCCTAGAAGATTTCGACTTTGACAAGGCCCTGTACAAATTTGCGAACGAGCGGGAGTCATTCCTGTCAGATCTGAGTCTAAGTGCCGGAGCAATCACTCCCACGTCACGCCCCAGGTCCAGGTTACGTACACAGAAGATTGTCTCCGAGGAGGCGCCCTCCCAGCCATCCAGCCTGCTTCGATCAGGCATTGGTAGTGTGCGGCGTCATATGGCATTCAGAGACATGAACAGTATGAAACGGCAGCCGTCAGTTGCTCGTCAGGGTGAGTTTGCGACTTTACAGGAGCTGTGAGCACCCCAGTTTGCTAACCACAATTTCAAACAGCTTCTATTCGGACCTCGCGACGACTCAGTAACTACAACTCAGTTATCCCGGCACCGCAACCGTTGGAAATCTCCCCTACCATGCATCCCCTGAAACGCCGTTTCGAGCCCGTTCTCCTCGACCGGTACCCAACTAAAGGAATGTCTGACGAGCTGAAGCAGCGGGGCAACTTCCCGGACTATGTTCCGATGTTTGCCTTTCCGAACGATATCCATATTGTTTCTTCAGACCAGCGACCGCGCTCTACCTGGCACGGGTTTGTCATGACAACAGATAATGGTTCACGACTGCACGCCATTTGTATTATTATATGGATTCCACTGAATCCGCGAGCTGCAGAGGAGTTAGAAAAACGCTGCGAGGAGTGGCGAAAAGACAACATGACAGACGAAGAGCGAGAGCTAGCGGCCAGTCTCGGTGAAAGGCTAGCGAGTGAACGGGCCAAACTCTCGAGACTGCTAGCCCAACTTCCCACGGTTCCTTCAGGGTCGGAACAAAGAGAACAATTGGAGGATGAAATCAGCGCGGTTGAAGAGAAAATCGGCTTAATGACCGATCTTTTACGCCCAGTCCGGCATGGCGCAGCATCGAAAATCGAGGGTCTGACTGACGGCGACACAGGATTCTGGATCCCTCGCGCTTATGGTATTCTTGGGCGGGAAGAAAGCATGACGAGTTTCTGGAAAGAATGGCTGAAAGCAGTAATTGTGCCCATGACCGAGGGAAACATTCAACGGATTCCTCCAAGCTCTCCACGGATGGGGATGTGGCAACCCTTGGAACGATATGTGATGAACCTATGCACTGAGGCATTTAGCCCCAATTCATCCAAAACCCAGGTAGAGCTTTCGGTCCGGGAGCTGCGCCTATTTGCGCGAAAGGAGGCTACCAACGAACTGCCGGGCTCCCGTAATACGGATCTCTATGCTTTATTCCGAACTTTGTCGCTGCCGAATATTATCATTCTTTTCGAGTATGCACTGACCGAATCGCGTATAATATTCTTGTCGTCCCATACTTCGATGCTTTACTTGGCGACTAGAGCCCTGGTTGATCTGTTGTTTCCCTTCCAGTGGACTGGAGTGCTCATTCCTGTTTTGCCTGCGCGTTTGATCCAAGCTCTCGAAGCTCCTTGTCCTTACATTGTAGGTATCGAGCGAAGGTATGAAAAGGTCGAGTTGCCATCAGATGACTTCGTCTTGGTGGATCTCGACGCAGACCTCATTGAGAGTACAGTTCGGCCGACGCCCCTGCCGCGTCACCAGCGGAGGAAGCTACATTCGCTGCTTCAATTGGCCGCCCCCCATCACAGTCGGTGCGGTGTCCCAACCGGTCCGCCAGCATATGCAGTTGAGACGTTTCCGTTCGATGCGTTTATGTCGGAGAATTCATCTATCTTCCACTCCAAAGCGCAGTCCACTCAATTAGCTAAATACGTTAGTCTAAACTCGAGCGCATTCGGCCAGGCTTCGATGCCCGGAACGTATGCGCCTCTAGTATTCAATGCTTATCTGCATGCTCGCTATGAGCAGGTTCCGTCTAGGGGATATTCGTCCAAGGGTTCTGACAGGCCGGGAACCGGATCGTCCAAGGCTGGATCGCCTCCTTCACCTAGGGATAGCTCTCCCACCTCCGGCCATTTCCCGGCTTCCTCGCGAAATGATTCAGGAATGGCTCTTCAGGCATCTTTGCGCGAGAAACGCTCAGGTCATTTCGATGCTGCATCGCGAAGAAGTTCGTCGTTCGGTATGGAGTTAAGAGGAGGTGTCCCAAGACGGCCAAGCGCTCCTTTCCTAGGTCACACTTCGAATTTATCCGTGACAACCCTGAATACGGATTATAATTCTGGATCAACTTACGCTCCCTCTGTCTATGCCCAATCGACTGTTGCTGCGTCTACAATTGTTCCCCAGCCTTCTTCGCAACCAATTCACAACTCCGAAGGTACCTGTTGGGTGGAGGGACATTGCTTGCAAGTGCTGCCATGCGATGACAAGTCTATCTGTGCAATATGTGATGAAAGGGCCGATGAAGCCATGTACAAGTGTAATGCCTGCAAGACTCTTGTTCACAACCGCTGTGCCTTACAGATCTGCCTGGTGTGTCCCGCTGCATTCCATCCAGAACAGATTCGCGCCGCATTTGTAAGGTGTTTTGCCAGCTTGCTTTACACCTATAAGAAATTCTTACAACCTGCTTCCGGTGATAAGAAAAAAGCGGGCCTGACTTATAGCTTCAACATGGAGGCGTTCCTGAAGAGCTTGCCAGGCGAGCACGCCGAATATGCTGCCGTCCTGCAGCAAACACAAAGTAAGCCATCACTTCAAAACCAACTTACTGCCTTTAAGGTCCTTGTCACTAACATCCTATCAGGCTTCAACGAATTCATCAGTGAAAGAGAAAGAGTCAACCCCAAGTCAAAAGATCCAAGAATGGCGCTTTTTGATGAGATTGTCTTGTCTAAACGTAATCGTGGGCGGACTTCTTTCTTCTCCAGCCGGATGCAGACGGATTTCCTTTCGGATACGTCAAATCATCTTTGGGTAACTGCCAGTGCTAGTTCCTTCGGTCCAGGTAGCAGAGGCCAACAAGGTCTTTCTGGGGATTATACCCGTGTCGTCACTAGAGGTTTGTCATCTCTGATATGCGATCTACCACTTTTCCCCGCTAACAACTATTCTACAGCACCAGCAAAACTCGATAACAGCCTGATGAAAGAGCCCCGCATGATCCACGGAGCCCCTCGGGTATCGAAGACGGCAAACAACGCTCGTAGAAAGCCGCTGCCTAAGCTCATGAACGGGCTGGCCATTTCACCCCCATAAAGGTGAAACACGGCTGGTGGAGTGCATATCTCTAGTTACTATTGGATATGGCATATCCCGTGTTGTACGCATGCCACGTATCCTCAGGTCTTATCTCGCAAAGTGCAGATGCAGAGAGTCATGTGGATGTTTGCTGCGGAAATCGATGGAAGTCATACCCACAAATACCTGCATTTTGGGGACTCAAAACCTTTGTCAATGACGTTCTTCGGCACTGGTAGCGTGAACTTCTTTGGCTCACGCGCTATATGACTGCCGCGGCATATTAGCCCTTTGAGAAATGGGCGCTGCGACTTATTTACTGCACAGAACGATGAGTTGAAAATATCCTTACATTTGCATCTCAGAGGGTGCAACGAGGTGCATCGGACATACAGAATATCCTACGCCTAACCATATCCCCGTAATGATCATGACCATGGCATACCACTGACTCCGGTTTTGAGTTGTGGAGGTACATACGTTGCATACATTCATGTGTGTACGCAAATGCGCACATACACCTTTTGTGCTGATCCAGCCACTTAATATTTGCAATCTTTAGAGGATCTGCACATGATCGTGCTTTCCCGCTTATTCTATCCTGCCTTGTTTTGGTATTTGTTGTGTTGCTTTCAATACCCCTTTCAATTGGTTGATCCTATTGTCTTATGTGTTCCATTTCTCTTAAGATATCGGTGGCTCACTTCCTGTTCATATTTCCCTACTCAACTAATCATGGCCCGCTTCCGAGACAACACAAACCAAGTGCAGAGATAGACGATAATATGTATGAGTAGAATATGTAACCTGTATACCTCATCGTTCTTGAGTGGCTGGCGGACAAATAGACCCTTACTTGGCCATGCGTGATACCACCCAAGAATAGCCCTCGGTCAGGGAATGATGTTGGTGGATATCGGCGGGCCAACGAGAGACGGTACAGATAACACCATGCAAGGCTTTTTCCTCGTATCATAGCCCTTTAGGTTGTGGATCGCTGGAGCTTCTGATAACATCTGCCCCGTAGACAATGAACATGAAGTCGCAAGGTTGGGTCACACCAAGATAATTTCCAGTCAGACTAGAGAAGTTGTTGAGATGTCTTATAAAGGCTCCGGGCGATAGTCCATCCACAGTATTACTTCGCCGACATGGAACCTCTCGAATGGATGAAGGTTACCTCAGATACTAGGTAGTGTACTGTCCATACAAAGCGTGCCTAAGGTTACTGTCGGTCATGGGCAATAGGCTAATCTTATTGGCGGAGAAATCGACTCCGCTCCCCGTAGTGCGGAGCTGAAATTCCGGGGAAATTTAGCCGTCGGAAGAAGAGCATCTTACCAACTTCATTCATTCACGACCCTAGTCGTGTCGTTTTCCTCACGTTGTATTGGCAAATGTGATTGTGGTCTCTCCTTTTCGTTCCCTTTTTTTTTTTCTTTTTTTTATAGTGCCCCCGTCCAAGGATTCTCAACCAACTCGAGTTGCTCCTACTTATTGGGCGTGTTGTGATTCGATTTAGTAGTGTCGGCCCTTGCCTATTGACATCTCGGGTACTGCACACTAGTCGCTTATCTCTAATCGACCCTTCCATCCCAGCTGCCCTGATAAAGCCCACACCCTCCCTTCTATTGTTTGGTTAGGGTTTAAAGTACCAGTCGACTACGTGTGAATGTGAATATTTCTGTGAGGGTCTCATTCTGGATCTCAGTGCTTTGTCGGTTGTCTCTATTTTTGTTTTGATTGAAATACTAGATTTGGCGCTGCGGTGGGATTAGCCTTTCACCTCCTGTCCTTTTTTCTTCCTCTTGGAGTTTCGGCATCTTTCGGATACAGTATGAAGGTGCAGAGTACTGCCCATGCAATGAGATGATGCAGACCGCCATTCATAAGCCCGTGGCTATGACACTCTTACCTGAAACCTCTTCCCCTATTACCTCCCTCAAAGGACCTTCTTCCTTTGCTATCACTTCTCCTGTCCAAAACCTGCCCCCGGAGCCCTCTCATGCCGTTGCCATTATATATGGCCCCAATCAGGAGGCTATCGTCCAAGTTGTCGCTGAAATCCTGGGAAAGCCATGGACAACGGAATCATCCCTGTCCACGCTTGGCCGGGGCAGTAATGCTGTCGTGACCGGGATATTGGCAGATGACCTGGGTCGCGCTCTGGAAGGGTGCGCGAAGCCTGCCAGTATCTTAATCAACACGCACTGCGTGGATGATGGATCATTTCCAGAAGAATCACTCACCGACCGCTGTGACTATGAGTTTCTCTATTCCCTTCGGAGTCCTTTCTTTCGCCGCGATCTAACCCGGTTTTTGTCTTTGATCCTGGGCCAAACCAGGCCACACGAAGATTTGAAGACCAAAAACCGCACTAACTTTATCTCCACGACCTTTCCGGACGTCCATGCGGCGCTACCCAATCTTGACATTCTGTCAGTGGGTTCTGATGCAGTCGAGATCCGTGTAGATCTATTGGTTGAGCCCTCGCCTGTGGGTATCTCCAACCGGGTACCCAGCCTGCGGTACGTGGGCCAGCAGTTGATGTTGCTTCGGCAGCATACTGAGCTGCCAATCATCTTCACCACGCGGTGCACTAAGGAGAATGGTAAGTTCCCTATGGATGATCCGGGACTATTTTACAGGTACCTTCGCCGGGCGATCCAGTGGGGTGTCGAGTATATAGATGTCGAACTGTGGCTTCCAGAGGATATTCGGAAACAGTTGGCGGAAGTCAAAGGAAATAGCATCATCATGTCAGCATTTCATGATTTCTCAGGGACGTGGAAATGGACATCCCCCGAGGCACCGCGGATTTTCGCGGAAAGTGCCAAATATGCGGACATTGTGAAGATGATTGCTATGGTCAATACGGTCGAGGCCAATTACGAACTTGAGTATTTTCGCTCAACGATCAAGAGGGCCCATGGGTCGTACCCCCTCCTGTCGGCTGTCAACATGGGACAGATGGGCCAGCTCTCACGAGCACTCAACACTGTGTTTTCACCTATCACGCATCCGCTATTGCCGATGATTGCAGCGCCGGGACAACTGACCGCGGCGGAGATTAACGAGGCTCTTCATATTATGGGACAGCTGCCCAAGCGCGACCTGTACGCCATCGGATCATTTCGCTCAACACCGCAGTCGATGTTTATGGAGAAATGTTTTAACGAACTGAGCCTGCCGCACACCCTGACTTCGATTGACCGTGGACCCATGGGTTCCTTCGAACGAGTGATTACCCAGCCCTCCTTTGGTGGAGCATCGGTGCATCCGCCTATCTCGAGCAGCACCACATGCATTCCAGCCATCAGTGATGCTGCCCGTGCGATTGGATTAGTCGATACGATTGTGGCAGCCAAAAGCGCTGCACCAAATGCTCAGTTGATTGGGGAGAATGCGACATGGAAGGGGATCCGGGCAACGTTAACCCGAGATTATGTCCCGTCGGCATATCGTGGCCGAGCGGCGATTATTTTAGCAGGTAGTGAGAGTGAGGCATCAGCAGCCATCTTTGCACTGCGCAGCTTAGGCGTTGGAGCGATCTACACGGTGGGGTTCCGGGCAAGCGGGCCGCTGGCCGATGGATTAGAGCCATTCACGTCGATCCAGTCAGTGAAACTGGTTGAGCAGCCTTTTGTGATTGTATCCGCGCTGCCGCCAGAGAAGTCGCTGCTGGTCCAGCCGCTGTTGCGACACTACCGAACGAGTGGTCGAGCCTCACCACCATCTACACGGGGGAAAGTGTACCTCGACTTGACTCGAGGTGAACGCACGGGGGACCCCGTAGGAGTCGCTGTGCGTGCGGGGTGGACAGCATACGGAATTGAAGATGTGAATGCATGGACAACTGTGGAGACGCTGCGACTGCTGGTGGGACAGAATGTACCGTTTGATTTTGTGCGAATGGCGTCAGGTCGAGTGTTTTGATTTGATGTATATATATTGAAGTACTGATAGATGAATCAGACTTATGTGCAGCAAACCGGTTTCAAGGAAGGTGGGGGGGTGTGAAGGAGGGCAGACCAGAGCCAATACTTGTCAGACCAGGCTGATTGCAGTAAGTTGAATTCAATTGGGACCAGATTCTTGCAGAATATAAAATAATATTCTAAGGGTTTAATTAAATTAGCGGAAGGACGGAGCCGTACAGTTTTCGTATAGGTCTCTCTGAGATTATACTACATCGGGACTAGGGATCCAGATGGTGTGACAAAACCATCCTTGCCAGGTAATCTACTGTACATTTGAAAGGAGAAGATGAACGTGAAGACTGCGGATGCATATCATGTTATTGCCGACCGGACGGCAGTCCGTGATGGACAGGGGAAAATCCCGTCGAGGATAAAAGACATTTAACCGAGATCTTGCAGATCACTAAGGTTGCACCACTACTGAGTACTTAAGTCAAAAGGATGGGAAGGTTTTGCTTGTTAAACGCCATGGTAAATTAGACTCGAAGTGTATTTATTCAGTAGTATTAGAAAAAAAGGTTTTGGTAATTCTGGTAAGCCAGACTGTAAGCGACCATCCCCGCATCGGCTGTATCTCCGTCACGCTAGCCCTCATCCAGTGTAGTCCCACTCGTGTTCTCCACGTTTTTCCACTACGTTTAAATCTGGGGTCATTCTCTCACTCTTAATCTCCTCTTCTTTTCCCTTTTTAAACCCTTTGCTTCTCCAATGCTTGTCAAGAATCTTGCTTATACTTCTCCCCGTATATTTACCTTTTGTGTCTACCCTATATTCACCGGTCTACCTGCACAAACAGGCATATGTCATGTAATGTGGCCATGTCCCGGCCTCAGGTCAGCATCGACCGGCTAACTCCCCGCCGAGTCAATGCCGAACCGCGAGAGTCGATGAATTGCAAGTCATGTCGGAAGAGAAAGGTAATTAAAAAAATAAATAAAACCAAGCAAAAACCTCCTACCACTCGTCGCGAACAGTTGATTCTAAAAAATTGATTAGATCAAGTGCAACCGACTGCGCCCAAGTTGTGAGGCTTGCAAGGTGTTTCAGTGCCCTTGTATATATGGTACACAACAGACAGAGGATGCCGTATTCATGTCTGATCCACTAACGGACGTCTTCAGATGCCGTACCGAAAAAACGTGGCCCTAAAACAGATGTCTTGGAGGCCCTCCTTAAGCGCGTCGATGGTTTGGAAAAGCGACTACAGGATGACAATCATCCCCTGTCGCCCACCTCCTCTGCCTCTCCTACTAAGTCAATGGAGCAACTGGCGGCACAGGTGAACTTTCACCCTCCACCTCCATCGCATACATTTCCCCCACCTCCGACGCCTCAGCAATCTTCTCAGAGTCACAGGCTACCTGACTCAATGCTGGACGTTTACTTTGCTCGACTTCATGGCAAGCCCTACTTTATCTTGGATGAGTCTGCCACCCGCCAGCTACATCAGCGAGGACAATTGCCCGTGTGTTTATCCATGGCTATCCATGCTCTGACGATAAGGTCCGTCACAACCTGTCTTGTCCTCTCGAAGGCTTTCTGACATTGCACAGATATACCGTTCTCAACCCTTCTCAAGGTCTAGACTATGCTTGCCAGGCCCGACGCTTAGTGGACATTGATGATCCCTCTATTGAGGGGTTGCAGACTCTTCTACTATTATCGCAGACCTTTTTCGCTTATGGTTATGGTAGAAAGGCCTACATGGCATTGAGTAAGCATCCCAGCCCTAGTATGCTTGCCCCATAACTAACATGCATAGGCAATGCTGTTGCTATGGTCTTGGCTTTGGACCTGTATCGTGAACTACCCGCTCAAAGCCCGTCACGTAGTTCAGAACGTGAGATGAGGCGTCGTCTCTTTTGGACGGCTTATACCATGGATCGCTTTCTTACTTGTGGCTCTAAGCGGCCCTGTCTTCTCGCTGATCATTCCATCGTGCTACGATTACCTTCCGCTGGACCGGAAACTGGCGAATGGTTTAACCCGGTCGGTCCTAACATCCAGTTCACATCCGACCGTCGCAAGGGCCCAGGAGCCGCTGCTCTTTTGGTCGATATCACTCGAATTCTGGGCGTCACCCACCGCTACTTAGCTGCTGGAGGTGTCAAAGGTGACTCGCACTTTCCTTGGCATGCTCTCTCCAACTTGTCCAAGATCCGTCAGGAACTTGACATCTGGGCGGCCGGCACGCAGGATTTATTCGCCTCAATCGAGGCCCTGTTTGGTCATCCAGAGAGCACACTTCTGCTTCTCAGCAAATTAATATATCACCTAGTCCATTGCCTGTTGTATCGACCGTTTCTTCCTATTGACCTCGCTGAGCTCCGCGGGACGGGCCAGCATCAGTCGTGGCAGATTGAGGCTACCACACTTTGTTTCTCGCACGCCAATGCTATCGCCGAGTTGGTTGAGCTGGCGCGCCATGCGCCGCGCATTGAATGGCCGGACTTAATAGCCTACTGTGTCTGCACCGCTGGTACTGTTCACATTCACGGCGTTCATTACAATGGCCGCGAAGGTGAAGTATTCGCATCGAGTGCTGACTTCCTTACGCGTGAGATGAACCAGCTAACATGGCTGCGTCACTCCTGTTCGGGAGTTCAGCATCAGCGCGAGATGCTGCAAGCCATTTCGGCATGCCATGCAGGTCTGGTGCGAACATTAGCTGCGCGACCGGTGCGGTTCGCGCCAGTCTTCCATCTGGAGGATTTCTTCGATCGGTATCCAGGATTAGCTGTTGAAGGAGCGCATGTAAGATTAGTGGATATAGATGACCCGTGAGTTCTCTCTGTTGTTAAGCCTTAATGATCTCAACCTGACGGTGATTTAAAGCGCCCGCTTTGACCGCGCGGATGCCCACGACGGGAATAGAGCGATTTATCCGGCGATCCCACCAGCTACGCCAACTCTCCCATCACAAGCCGGTCGAAGCAACTCGATCAGCTTCAACCCACCTCAGCCATCACCCTCACCGTGGCTTGGCCCCGATCTGAGCCTTCCAGACGGCGGTCTCGGGTTCTCTCCGTCCGCGGTAAACACCTCTCCAGCCGCATTCCTCTCCGAATCATTCAACGCACCCACACCACCGTCACAACCGCAATACGCCACTTTCCCCTTTGAAGCGTCCGTTCCGGGTACAGCTTTGACGCCAGACGCTCAGTCCCAGGGTAGCGCCTCGGGGGCGGGAGCGGGGCCGGGTGAGCAAAGCTCGTCCGAGAAGGACCCATTCCTAAGCTTGTTGGAGCAGCTAGCGGAAAATGAGCACTCGCAAGGGGGTCCGAGCGAGTTGGACTTCTTTCTAGGGGAGAGCTTAGAGGCACCGGGGGAAGGATGCCAGGATGAACTTGAAGTTGTTGATGCTTAGTTTATGATACCCTCTATAGCACTGTGATGTATAATATATATATATATATATATATGAATTTATGAACGACGATGGCATATACGATGATTCTACTATGAACGAACTCCTGCCTAGCTGAAGTCACGGGTGATGGACTCTACTAGTATAAGTCATGTCACGTCTGAAGCTAGTAAAGAAATCCCCACGTAAAAGGGCTCTTCCCCTCAGCCCCTCTTCAATGCTTCACGCTAGGGACTTTTACCGAAGAGCTAAAGGGCAAGAAAAAAACAGTTGGCAATACTCCACAAGCGCGATCGAACTAAAACCCACACCCGCAATCATACCATTACCCCATGAGCCAATCGCGTGGAAAGACCAAGACACTTGCCCCCGGAGGATATACCTGATCGGGTCAATCGTCGTCAATCCCGAAGCCCTACCTTTAGTAGCTTGGTATACCTTGGGGTCAAACTTGTCAGATCCGACGGTCCAGATATCCGTGGAACGGAATTGAGGGTTATTTTTGCACACCCTCGGAGTAACGAAGACCCAAAATATGAATCCTGAGCTATCTTTTTCCAACGGCCTTAGTGCTTCCCCGTGTATTGTAAGGGGCGGTTTTGGCCTATGTTCCTGCAGGTACGTATCTTCTCTAATGTGCTCCATGTGGGTTTTAATTTATGTTCAACGATGATCTCAATTATTGTGAAGAGTAGAGTAACATGTGAAAGCATGGTAGAAGCCCTTGTCGAGATTGGTATAGGCTTGACTCTCCTGTATCCAAGTCATATTATACTTTCTGAACGCGCCGCCTTTACGATGATCAGTTTATCATACGGACAAAAGTAAACCAGAGGATATAGATATTAGACAATTAACCGATGAAATGAAAGTCCAGCGATCACTCGAGACTATCGTTGCGCTGATATACTTATCAGGACTGAATGCATAAGAACAGATGGGCGAATAAACGGAATGAAATAAGGATTTCATTGCTATAATATGCATATATATAGGGAAGACTCGTATATTAATCGACCTCACCTGTAGCTCATTCCATTCAGTCAATACAAGACTCGGATTGAAAGTCTCCAATCAATCAGATATCTTACTGTCGCCATCAGACCAGATACTTCGTCAAGGAAGGTTACTATGTCATTATCAGTAAATCATTCAGTTTTAGACTTAAGTTCTACATGCATCAAGAGCCTTGTAGCCCTAGAGTCTCTGCGCTGACCTTTTTTCCAATATTTGGTCCCTCACCCATCGGATCTCAAACGCAACTACATCAGGACGGATAAGGTGGACATGGTGACCGCAGTCAGGAAGGTAGGTAAGACGACTATTGGACGACAATCGGAGTTGTTCACCCTGCGCACGCTGATCATAGTGGTCCCAGCGGTCGAGTAGTCTGCGAAAGGCCGCCCGCTGCGCTTCAGTACCGTTGCCCGCCTCCACACCCTTTTCATATATTCGTCGGTAGTCTTGAGAGCCATGGCACCGTATTACACTCAAGGGTCTAACCCCTAGTGCATGGTTCCTGTACTGCTCCTTGCTCCCTAGTGTATTACAGAATTCGACTGCATCTGCAGATTCAGCTTGGGATGTCGAGATTCCTCGTGCAATGTCTGCTGCACGAGCCCTCCACTCGTCTCGAGAGAGTCGAGCACTATCGCGTAACCCTGTGACCTGGCTGAACTTAAGGTCACCCAGTACAGCGTTGATGTCCAGATCTGGATCGTCCAATAACTCAGCTTGCCTCTCCGTCGATGCATCCGCGAGAACCATGCCGGCCACTTCCTCCGGGTAGAGGTGCAGGTACTCGCGCGCAATAATACCACCATAGGAGTGAGCAACTAAGAGAAGAGGCGGAGTCAGACCCGCACTGTGTAGCAATTGATGCAGCTCAGTGGCTGCTGTCGTGGCCGTTGGCTTCGTAGGCCCATCTTGACTGCGTCCTAGGCCGGAACGGTCATAAAGGACAACGGGTGCAAATGTACCAACGAGCCTTTCGACTGCAACGTATGACGAGGCGACGTCTCCTGCGCCTGCGAAAAAGATAACAAGCGGCTCTCCAGTTTTACGAGCGACCCCGCCCATAGAGAGGAAGAGGCTATGTGTTCCGATAGAGAACATCGAGCCACTTTGGCTACCGTGTGTATCGGATGTCATGAGGCAATGGAGATCTATAGCATGATCTAGTATTGAATTGGTGTGGCTTCGGATCTAAATGGTGGAGCTAGAAGAGGTTAGTATATTATGTCCGATGTTGGGATTTAGTCGGCCTTTGGTATAAATACCATATCACGTGGGAGACTCTCTCACTGCACTCATCATTTCTCGACGGAGGATATCCGCAAGTTGCCTCTGGTACCACAATATTCAACTCTGGCAGCGCAACGCTCCCTGCCAAAAAAGTTCAAAATGGTTCCTCAATATCCCTGTGGGTTTTCGGAGAGTTACGGTGGGGTACACAGGTTATTACTGGGAGAAGTAAAGTATGAGCTTTCAGTGAGACTTTAGGCTTACCAGTGACACAGGTAGCTGAACATGAGTTTCAAAGATGGGGCTTCTCTTTTCTGATTGTTTACAGCCAGACCAGCCAAGTATTGAGGCTTGCAGACTGTGCTAATTCATCATAGGTCCTGAAGAACTCTTTACGCCCTTAGCGTGTTTAAAGGCAACCTGACGCGTCTATCCAGGCAGTAAGATCAGCTGCGTGCATCGTCCTTAATGTAGGGACAATGCAAGGCAGCTTCACCAAGGCGTGACCAGGCAAGATAATAACGTTATCATTGGTTCATGGAGCTACTTGTATAACTTAGGAACCAGGATACAATTGCCTCATAGAGCACATGTGACCATTGGACCCTTTGTTTCCGGGTGAGTGAATCACTCCCCTTGTCTGTCTAGCATACCGAGGAAACCGAAGGGACTTTTTATTAAAATTCAGTGAATCCACTACCATTGGGCGGTTTAGACAAGTTAGAGCTCTTTGTATAAGAAAGCTGCTTTCTGGTTATTGAGAGCGACTTCAATATTTTCATCCCATACTGCTAGCCAATGGATATATTTCTTGATTCTTAGCCACGCTTCTGTCTTCGATCAGTTACAATGATCATAGATCTTCCCATCCCCGCTCTTACGTTTTTCCTTGTAACGTATTGGCACATATCCGCGGCCTCTTCACTGCCTGTGGTTGATCTAGGTTATGAGCTCCATCAAGCATTCTCGCTAAATGTAAGGCGCTATTTCACCACAACACCAAGGCATGAGCGACTGACACTACCGCAGGAGACTACCGGACTCTACAATTTCAGTAATATCAGATACGCTGCCCCACCTCTGGGAAGCCTACGGTTTCGAGCCCCGTTGCCGCCGAAGGTCAACCGCGCTGGAGTCCAGACAGGAGCGGTGGGTAGGATTTGCCCACAGGCTACTCCGATATGGAGCAGATATATCATGCCGCAGTTTTTGACAAGCTACTTTACAAATGCAACGTTTGGCGCCTCCCTTGATGTCTCCTCCTATCCAGTCCCACTTGTCCAGGACCCCAGAATCTCGGAAGATTGCCTTTTCCTTGATGTTGTGGTTCCACAGAAAGTATTTAATCGAGCTCAGGGCAGAACCCCGGTACCTAAAGAAAGTTTGGCTCCGGTTATCGTATATTTCTATGGCGGTGGATATGTTCTAGGTGACAAGAGTGGTGTTGATGCATCTGGTCTCATTCAACGGAGTCAACAGCAGGGAAAAGACGGGATCATTTATGTGGCTCTGAACTACAGGGTAAGTATTTCGCTCTTTGTAGGTGAGAAGAAAACGGCACCTTATCGCTGACTACAACCTCATAGCTCGGTGCATTTGGCTGGCTTGCGGGTCACACAGTATCCCGGAAAGGGACCCCCAATGCCGCACTTCATGACCAGCGACTCGGCTTAACCTGGGTAACTCAGAATATTCATCTGTTCGGAGGTGATGCCGATCGAGTCACTGTTATGGGCGTATCTGCCGGATCAGGGTCCATCCTTCATCAGCTCACTGCGTACAAAGGGCTTCAGGGACCTTCTCTATTCCAACAAGCCATCCTGCAAAGCCCCGCCTGGGAGCCGAACTATGATACAGACAAGCAGGAACGGACATTTCGCCAATATCTCAAGCTCCTCAACGTTAGTACCATCGAGGAGGCTCGCCAGCTATCTTCTGACAAACTCATTGCTGCCAACGTCCACCAGGTATCAATCTCACTCTACGGAACATTCACCTATGGCCCCGTGGTGGACGGCGTCTTTGTTTCTGATGTCCCGGGCAAACTTCTACTGCGCGGCGAGTTCGATCACAACGTGAAGATATTGAATGGTCATACACTGAACGAAGCTCTCATGTACACGCCCCCACTCAGTTTTCAAGATGGGGGTCTACTCGCACTCATAGATGAGCACTTCCTTGACCTTTCGGAAGATATGAAAGACACCATCATCAATGTTCTATACCCGCCCATCCTGGATGGGAAGTACGGGTACCGCGGTTGGGTCGAACGAGTCTCCTCCGCCCTCTCAGACATATGTTTTCAGTGCAACTCATACCACTTGAATCACGCATACAGGAACAGCACTTACACCTACGTATTCTCCATCCCTCCCGCTATGCACTGGATGGATCATCCATACACATTTTACATTAAAGGTGCAAAGCCACTAGTTGAGAATCCTCTCTTCCAAGTGACAAACGAGACGGTGGCCTTTATCCTGCAAGACTACATTACGAGTTTCGTTCAAACGGGAAGGCCGACTTCTTCACTAGCCCCGCCCCTCGAGATATACGCTCCTGAGAGTCGGGTGGTTAGTATAGGATCGGACAATATCACGAGAATGCGTGATCCAGCTTGCAATGCGCGATGTGTTTACTGGCAAACTGCGTTTACCTATAGTCGGGACGACTTGTGATGCGTATTTCGATAATTGCACGGTGGGTACTGATTATGGGAGGTTGGGACAATGTAGATAACATGGCTGCGGGGATTATGAGGTGTTGCTTTTCAGAAAGGTCTCAGAGCATATGTATGTACTTGGGGAAGAAAACTGCCATTTAATTTAGTTTACTGTGCGGTTCAAGACTCCTTGCTCTCTCTTATTTGTGTCATATGAGCATATCCCTACCCCCGTATCCCAGGCCTCGTATAAAGGCACAGTCACACCTGAACAAGACCCGCACTTCCCCAAAGATAAACTTCTATAAATAGCCCTTCACTGTTCGTGTAAATCTATATAAAATCCACAACCACCATTACAGACACTTAACATATCTGCTCCAACCACCCCAATACCGTAAAATAAAACAGACCCTAAAACAACACCGCCCAAATGGAACCCAACCCAACCCCCAACTACAACCTCCAAGAAATTCTCACCACTGACATACGAACCGAAATTCCCACCGAAACAGTCACCACCATAACATCGCAACCCCCCTTCGTCACCATCCAGGGACTCTTCAACATCCGCGACCTCAGCAGCGGCAATCTGCGCCCGAGATACGCCTACCGCGCCGGCGTTCTATCCAGCATCTCAGACGAGGGTAAAACTTCCCTTCGCGATGTGGGGATATCCACCATCTTCGACCTGCGCAGACACGATGAACGGACGAAATCGCCTAGCCCTGTCATCGAGGGTGTCGAGACCGTCTGGGAACCATATACTCGCGACCCGGAACCGACTAACCCTCTAGCCTTCAAAGAAGAGGATCAGGGCGTCTCCGGGTTTCTTAACATGTTCATGTGTATTATGGAGATCTCGACGCCTGTTTTTAGAAAGGTCTTTCTGCATATTAGGGATTGTCCGCAGAGGCCATTTCTCTTTCATTGTACTGGTATGTATGTATGTATATATGTATATATGTGCAAGTAACTAATGAATCGGGTTCGATCTAATCTAGCCGGTAGAGACCGTACCGGCGTCCTAGCGGCCTTAATCCTCTTGCTAGCGGATACGCCCTCCGACGCTATTGTCCATGACTTCGTCTTGAGTCGCGTCGGAATCGAACCCGCTCGAAAGACGCTAATGGCAGTCTTTCCGACCCTCTCCAGCACTGAGACTCCAGAGAGTGCCGGGTGGCTGGAGCTGATGAGTGTGCGGGCTCCTGCGATGGTTGCGTTTTTGGATACGGTTGAACAGTCTTTCGGGGGCGTGAAGGGGTATTTGACAGGCATATTGGGGTTTTCAAATGAGGATGTGGAAGTTATGCGGGTGAACTTGAAGGGCAATTAACAAGCGTTTCTTATCTGTCTTCCAGAGGATGTTATGATGGAGACATTATTTTGATTGATGGGGATGGGAAAGAACTATGGGGGACTTCATCCTAACATCCTCCCCCACCCACTACGTATTCAATCAATATTTCCCCAATCATGTATCCTAATACTATCTAAGCTCAACGGAGGATAATACAAGCCATAAACGGCATACCAAATTAGGGTCCCGATAGCATCACATGACATGACATCATGACCGGTATAGTCATTCCAACATCATCATACCACTCTCTATAATCTATGAAGCGAAAGGAAAAAAGAAAGTGAAAAAAACGTAGCATAAGATCACCCGAGTAAAGTACCCTAATCCACACGGACAAGAGTTTCTTCCGACCTAAATAAAGGTACAATGAACACCCTCGACACCCTAGCGACAGAACACGGCTGGGTCCATGGCTCCGTGACCAAACCCTTCACGGCCATCGTCACCCTCTACATGGGCCAGCAATTAGCGCTTGAACTTGCCGTACAGGAGATAGTCAGTGTTTTGAATGAGGTATATTACGGGGGTGATAGTGATCTTGGTATCATTTCCCAAACTTTTGTGTACTTTGCAAGATATGGCACAGGTAAAATAGCGGTATTTTTGACTAACTGGTTACCCCTCTCCAAAGACGAATATCTAAAAGATATTTGGAGCACAATAATCCACACGTCCCGGAAGATCCCTCGGGAAAAGCCGCATACGCTTCCTGACGTCCCGACGGCTCTTCAGATCCGTCTCGCTGCCCTTCTCCTGACGCTTAAACGCCAGCCGGACCCGGCGCCGATGCCCACAACCCATCTGCAATCGCCTGTTAATACTCGCCGGGACCTGTCTTGGAGACAGCTGCCGCTGTTCGAGGAGACGGTTTATGAAGCGCTGAAGGATGAGCCCGGGCGACGGGCGGAATTCACCAAGATCGAGACCGAAGGATGGGTGAATTTCATGGCGTTTTTGGCGCTAATTACGAAGGAGCGAATCGTGGGGCTAGAGAGCATCGGGGTGGTAGTCCTTCGGGAAGCATTGGAGGAGAGACACGATTCGCTTCCGTCGGCAGAAGGGGGTGATGATAGGAAGGCCGATGAGGCAACGCGGTTGAATGTGTTTGTAGCTGCAGCGGCCATTTGGGCGGTTATTATGGGGGAGGAGCTGTGGGAGAGAATGGGACAGAAGGATGAGTGTCCAGTGGGACTGTCTCTCGGGCCTGCGCCTAAGCAACTTATTGGAACAATTCCTAAGCGGCGTTGGGAAATGTGGATTGATCGACTTCAATTCCTGAGCCTGCGTGAAGACCTTAAGATATGTACAAGAGAGTTGGCGGCGGAAGCCGCTGCTGTTATGATGCGGGTTCTATGATACTCAAGAAAAACAGGTGTAATGTATGATGTACCACGACTCTATAATTGTGAGTAATGCAATATATATTAGGAAAACTTCACACCCTTGCTCGGATCCCAGGTCCCTTGTGTTCCGAATCGAATCCCCATATCGGGTGACCACACGCCGGGAGCCATCGAAGGTCTTGTGTTGGCTCTTGTTGGTTGGGGTGCAGTTAGTGGCTCATCCCTTGGTGGTTGGTGTTGGACCGGTTGAGGTTGCGGTGGAATTTGAGCCGGTTGCTGAACCGGCGGGACAGGCTGGGCGGGTTGGGCGGGTTGGGCGCTATACTGGCGTAAGTGTGGTTGAGAGAGATTGAGCGAGGCCATCGCCGCAACGCTGGTGATCTCCCTGCTCGAGTCAGCGCCTTGAAGTCCAATATTGAGCCTTCAAACGACCTACTCACCCTTCTATTTGGCTTGCCTCCATCCTCCGCTGATGCACAAATGCTTTGCAGTCATCCCGGAATCGACCTACAATCTTGGCCAGATCATTGTAGAATTTCCGTCCCACCTCGATGTTTGAGATGATTTCCTTGTATTTCAGATAGCCATTTTCCAGCTCTTGCAAGGCTTTCTCCCGCTCCTTGGTCGAAGCATCACCCGTGTGCGCCCGAGTAAATGCACGGTTAGCCTCCCGCACCTGCGCAGAAATCTGGTCTTGCTCGTGCTGCTCCTGGGCCACCATCTCCAGATCTGTATCGTACAGATGCAGCTGCTCCTCGAACAAATCTTCGAACTGGCTCGCCTGGATCGCCTGCATGGGGAACTCCCGCTCCAAGCGGGCGGCTTCCTTGAGAAGGGATTTGCCTGAGAGCTGTCAGTGCTGGTCTTCGAACCCAGCCTTGTAACTTACTGATGTCATCCGATTTGGCTTTGTCCTTCAAAGCCTGCGCTCGGCGTTTCCGTCGGTTCTCCAGCCGACTTACTTCGCTCAAGCAACCCCGTAGCCGAATAGATTCCCGTTCGACCTCTGGCGGAATTGCCGCCCTCCGGCTGCTAGGGACGTACATCTCCAAATCTCGATTAGTACCGGTCAAAACTCGGAAGACCGCCTCCGAGTCTCTCAGCTTTTGCTCTACCAAATTATCGCTACTCTGAGCGGAAGAAAAGTAGCCGTCTATCTCTCGAGAAGTGGTGTACAGCTTCGATGCCGCTGTTTCGGATGACTCTCTGGCCCACCTGTCAGTCCCGTATTTGCGGCGCGAAGAGTCATCCTCTGCCTTTTCTGCGGCGAGTAGTTCAACACCCTCATGGTATGCAGCTTTGTCATTGGCCTTCACCCTAGCGGTATCCTCGAGTGACCTCCGCAACCGGTTCAAACCATCTTGCTGGCGCATTTCTTCCGCATGGGAGACCAACGTAGGTGGTAATCCAAGAGGCTTTTCCAGAGCCTGCAAGGAGCCCGGGAGATTCAGAGACGATAGTAAACTGTGCCAATTAGTATCTTTCTCGCCATGGCCTAGACTATAACACTTACTCCCGTAATTTGTCCGTCATAGTCTCCAGCTCCCCGATAATTGTCTCGTTGACAAGCCGATCACGGCGGTCAGAGTAAATACTGGCAGCGATATGGACGGCATATGGCACCAGCTTAGAAAATAACGGCTGCCCTAAAGGTCCGTTGTCTCCCAACATGGAGATAGCATCGGTCACCTGAGATGGCGCCTTCGCTGCAACCATACATGCGCGATCGATAATCTTCAGTTCTGACTTTGGCGGGACTGGATTAAGATAGATTACATCGTTGTCTTTCTCGGCGCGCTTTAGGTCCTCCGTCACACGGTTCTTTAGTCCCTGCAAGTCCCCTAGCACAGTGCGATTGATCCAACGTGATTCCTTCAGGGCCTCGTTGACACAAACCTCGCTGTCTCGAAGACGAGCCACCTCTTCACCATACTTTCGCTTCTCCAAACAGTCCAAGGACTGGCGATACTGCGCAGCGGCAGCAAAATGATGATGCTTGGCTGTCATATGATGTATCCATTCAGGACTAATAGCATTCGATTGGACCGCATAGTCACCTCCTTCTGCGTAGAAATCGGAGACCTTGGCCGCCAGCCGAGCAATGGAAGCATCTTTCAGCCCATCCTTGACGGCCTTCTGCCAGAAGCACTCTTGCCCCTGCGCGAGAAGGAGCTGTTCCAGACTCTGTAGTGTCATATCATCCATATCCTCCGGGGGAGACGTACGAAGATCAGGAAGGATATCCGTTCGGAGATGTGCCAAGACCCCAGCGGCCTGGCAGAAGTAGTTGCATGCCTGTTTGAGACCATCTGGTGTTGTACGGTTCACCGAGAAGGCTAATTGTGAATATAGTGCTACCAGATTAAAGAGGACATTCGCAAGTTCAAATCGAATATTGTTCTGCGAGACTTGTACTCGTCAGCAAGGACGCTAGAGACCGAATTACTCTTCACGTACTCGGTCTTGAGGTATTGAAACCAAACGCAGGGTACCATGGAAACTCGACTCCAATCTGTAAACTTCCATGTCAGTAACGGCCTTGTGGTCAGTTCCCCCACCGCTATGCTACGTTACTCACATCGACCGGGAACTTTCCACCAAGCCATTTCAACTGCGCAACATATGTAACCAACCGACTGATCCCACTAACATGCGGCTCCTGGACGTGAATCGCTTCATTCCGCAGGCGATCTATGATCAATAGATCATCTGCGAACATATCTGGACGCTGGTCATACTTGGTCGAAATATACTGGGTGATCGCGTCTGACAATGAAACGGTGTGAGAGCCTCGAAAGGGGATCTGAAGGATATTTCTGAGCAATAAATTAGCCTAGGCAGCCAAGCGGGAACAGTATAACTTTAGAGACAGCACATACGATGCCATGCTGGGCAACGGTCAAGAGCGCAATGAGAGAGGGATCGTCGCCGGGCAACTTTTGTTGATGTTTGAAAAACCAACCCCACCGGACAACGGATGACGTTGTGTGTTGGCCTGAGGCACCACATACCCGATATTGTATTTCTACAGATTCACTCCACACAATAATTTGTGGCTACACGACAGGCAGTATTATCGATTAACAGTAAAGTTGTTCATTCTGTATTTGCGTGGAGCCTCGGGCTTATGCACATATGTACTCGGTAAAATATAAATCATCAAAGCATACCCCGGCAGTCGTAACGCCAATGGCCATCTGCACATCGGCTAATGTCCCAGAAATCGCATCAATCCAACTGATTGATCTTCATCTTTATGTATTCGAAGATACTGAGCAAGATCATATTGTTTACTCCAGTACGGATGAGAATAATCGAAAGTCCTTTGTACATACTGGACTTGGCAACCGCAGCCGATGCCTCCCCGACTTCGCTGGATTTGCCGAGTAACACGCTCTGGGCGCGAGTCTTTCGAGTATCAAGCGGATAGGTCTATGACAGTTAGTAACGCACATATAGGCATCATGGTTGCGGTACTTACGCAAAACCACGGAACAGTGCTGCAAATTGCCCCGGCAATCATGGGACCGCCGAATGGGGATTTGTCTGGGCCAAGCTCTTTTGATGCGACTTGCTTTACCGTTTCGTAGACACTGAAGTATAGGCCAGACCCGAGAGTGTCACGTAGAGCGTGCAGATGAAAGCCGGTGTACAGGCCACGGATTCCGTAACGTTTGACAATCTGCCGGATGGCCTCAATAGTGCCGAGACGGGGCTTGTTACGCAATGAGGGGTCATTGACCGCATCTGGCGAGGCTTGGGCCCGATTTGACACCAAGACCGAGGTCTGAACGACATTCTTAGCAAGCTCGAAAGGGCCTTTAACTCGAGTTAGTATTTGAAGCTCAGGTAACGAGGTGCAATTATTCAGCCGTACATGCAAGCGGAGAAGTAATGAGTCCAGCAATTAGTCCAGCAGTGGTGAATGTCACAAAGGTAGAGACGGTAGGCGTGCTGCCCGGTTGATTGTACATAGCCAGAGGAGACTGGCCAGTCATTCTCTCGAAGAAATCTGAGATACGATGTTTGGCAGCATTATATGTAGAGAAGTTTACAACCCGAACAGCTGTAACACTCGCTAGAGGTGGCAGAGCCCCTGCATGCAGGCTCGTCAATTATCGACCATTGACCATTCCAAGTCAGAATTGACGTACCGGCAACGTAGCCACGGGGTCCTTCAGTCCGCCACAAGTAGCGAACACACTGAAACACATTTTTGAAATTGTGGCTAGTGAAGTCAGCACAGCTAGTCCTATTGGATATGTTAAGCACTTACGTCTGCATGCGAGTTTTCACATTTTCGAGAGGAGTCTAGGGGCAACCAATTAGCTTCTCTCCATTCAAACATCCGGTCTGGTCTGAGACGTACCACAGCAAGTGTCGCGCAGATCGTGGAAGTCGCCGAGGCCACCTGGGTCTTGTAGTTCTTGAGGAATTTGTTACGAGTTGCTTCATCCATCATCCAGGTACTACCAGTCGGCATCATGGCAGGTGAAGGTTGTGAGGGGGAAGGAGAGAAGGGCGCATGTTCAGAGTGTTCGTCAAGAGTCATCCCTGGAGGTATCCCATTTGGGGCGAAATGGGAGAGGCCTTGCTTGATTGTCGCTTGTATGTTCGATTCGGTTCAATGTCGTGAAGCAGGCTGGGGAACCCTATGGAACGCAAAGCGGTCTCTCAACGTGCGAGCAGACCGTTCGGCGTCCCACAATTGTCCATGAAGCAGGGGTCTAGACCACCTTTTGTTTCCGGGATTCGATCTGTAGAGAGAAGGTGCGGATACCTCGCGGGGGGAGACAACGTCGTTGGTTAAATCAGTGAAGGGGAGGCGATAATACAGGCCAGTAATAGGGCCGTAGCGACGATGTCCACGTCTTTCGTGTCTGCGCACCCGACACGGCTACGGTCGAAGTTGAATGGTTTTCTGTGACCAAGTGTAGAATACACCAAAGTGCCTTTTCTATCACACTCAAGAACAATCTGATAGCAGGAAAAAAAAGTGCAATTCAGGAGCTACCTATATAGAGGAACCATAGGGTCAGCTTCATCGACCACACTCGGCCTTTACTTCATTTCACCTCTTCTCTACCCGGGCTTTCTTTTTTCTTCGTCTTGGGACCATTGTGCGAAAAAGAGATGCAAAACCAGAGAGGAAAATCAAACCTACCTCCAGGGACGAGACCTCCACTTTGGTGGGTGTGAAAGGAAACCCAATGCAGTGAACACACTCGAATGGGATGAATCGAAGAGGGAGAAGGTTGAGGGGATCACCAACTGTCCATGATCTTAGTCGGTAGGCACGGACTGTAACTTCGTACCGCTGGTGGTAATTTAGGTAAGTTCCAGCTGCTAAATTACAATTGCAGTGGAAATTCCAACAGGTATGTGGATGAGGGCAGTCAATAGTGGACCATCTTTCTCCCCTTTCAACTGGTCGGTTCGCTCGAACTGGTTTAGACTGTCTGTCCAATGACGTCGTCGTGAGGCATCCAGTACGACCTCCACCATACACACTAAACCCACTCTACTTTTAAGAGGGCGATCCTCCCATTGCTGGACTGTCGTTGGAGAGGTACCACTTACTGCTCAATGAGCGTATGGTAAGATTCGAATGTTACTTTTGTTCTCTTTCTCATCTCAATTACCTTCCACCATAAGACAGCTAAGTCCCGAGTACTCAACAATCTTCTTGTTGTGTGGTTATCCTCCCTGAGTCAAGGTACTCCCCCCCCCTTTAGGGTAGAAATTGACCAGTGCCCACCAGTGGCAAGGGCGTAAAAGCGTATCGGACCAAACCAGTCCGGGTGGTGGTAACACCCGCTCCGTCTACCCCGCCCAACCAACGGGCTTTTTGATTGATTGAGGAATGAAGAGGATGGGTGGACTACTCCGGATTTAGTCTAGGTGAGTGCCAGGGACAAATCATTAGAATATGACCTAGACTAGATACTGCCTGAGTTATCGACCGAGTATATAATTATTTGTTGAATGATAGGTAGACGACAGCCATCCCATCCCTCCTCCCCCCCCTCCAGTCATGGAGTAAACCTTCATACCTATTCTTTTAATCGTGCGTATTTGGAAAAAGCCTCTCATGATGATGGAGTCAAAAGGAATCCTCGTCCGTGTCTATGATGAAATACTACTCGATTCATGAAAGTATTAAGATGAGAAAAATTGCCTCATAAAGCAACTGACAAATTATCATTCAATATCTCCACCGTCAGGAAGCTATGGATCGACAGAGTGTATCGCTGGCCGTACCACGGTTATGTAATGGACCCGACCATCCCTAAGTTAGTCGAAGAATGGTGTCGTAATAGTAGGTTCAACTACTAGTAAGAGCTATGTAGTCAGTAGGTTGTCTATGTAACTAAATCTGACTCGCAATCAGGGATGCAAACAGCTGCCCGAACTTTGGCCCCCTTCAGTTCATCATCCATGTTATTGGCCAGAATATCAGGGCATCATCAACTTAACAAGGGAGCTTTGATCCGGTTTACCAGCTAAATTCTGTCCCAAACCCACTTGGAAAGTTGATATGCCATGTGATTGGGGGCCTTTTGGGTGGGAATCGACTTCGAAGCTCAATCATACCTGTGCTTCTTATACTTGACTTGTCTTAAGATCTCAGTACAGAGGAATTAGCTCTACTATGTAGTGCTTGTTCAACCCCAATTACACTAGGACAAGTTTCTTGTTCATTTCATGAATGCATTGTACGGAATACATAGGTAACAAAGCATGAACCCGACTAATATTCCGCGGTACCCAACCCGATATATACTCATCACCCTCGAGGATAATGTGGCCCAACACGTTCTCGATGACCTCGGACCAGATTATATACCTCTTTTGATCAAATTCCATAGGCATTGTACTTATCTTGATCTGATCGTACAACCCTCGGAACCTCATGGTCGACCTAGGTATGTACAACGCAATCATGTGAGATGGACCAAAAAAACAGAAGAGGCTTGACCATGACTACCCTTGATTTTCAAAGCGAGATGATCAGCAAAAAGCAATAGCTGTAATTTGCTATTGCATCGTACAGCAGAAAGGCATGAGATATGAAGAGTTGTGCAGGACGTACACAAAGCCAAAGGGAACAAAGAATATCCTCGGGACCTCGGTCGGCGGCTCCCCGCAAAAAGTACCGTGTGGCTTTCTCCGCAGTAAATCATTCTGCAAGGATTCATATGCTGCTTCCTTACCCGATTGTTATAATAGTGTCATGATGCTTTAAATAAACAACCTTTTCCCAGTTCCCCATTCAAGTCAATCTACAGTATTCCCTACGGACTTTATCTCTCTCTCTCTCTCTCTCTTTTTCTTCCCTCCTTATCAATTAGAGTCTCCGATAACCACCTATCCTCACAATGGGCAAGAAAGCAGCGTCTCCCGCCTATGTCTTAGGTGTGGGTATGACCAAATTTATCAAACCCCGGGGCAAGGTTGACTATCATGAGCTTGGTTTTGAGGCTGGTGTCAAGGCCATGCTGGATGCCCACATCAACTACGACGATGTTGAGCAAGGGGTTGCGTGCTACGTCTATGGTGACAGTACCTGCGGCCAGCGTGTGTTTTATCAGTTCGGTCTGACACAGATTCCCATTTACAATGTTAACAACAACTGCTCAACGGGCTCCACTGGCTTGGCGATGGCCCGTACGATGGTCTCCCACGGTGCCGCCGACTGTGTTCTCGTTGTCGGTTTCGAGAAGATGAGTCCTGGAAGCCTTCAGTCGGTTTACAATGACCGAGAGAACCCCACCGGCTTGTTTGGAATGATGATGGCTGAGACCAGGGGAGTCACGAACGCTCCTGGCGCAGCTCAAATGTTTGGCAATGCTGGTCGGGAGTACATGGAGAAGTACGCTCTCCGCGGCCCATCTATTCGCTTCTACAGACTCTAACTGACATGGTGTATAGGTATGGAGCGAAGAATGAAGACTTTGCCGAGATAGGCCGTATCAACCATGAGCATTCCAAGCGCAACCCGTACTCGCAGTTTCAGACCGAATACACCCTTGAGCAGGTTCTCAAGGCGCCCATGATTCACGAGCCACTCACCAAGCTTCAGTGCTGCCCAACATCGGATGGCGCCGCTGCCGCTGTTATCGTTTCCCAAGAATTCCTAGATGCTCGGCCGCATCTCAAGGACCAGGCAATCCTGATTGCGGGCCAACAGCTGGCCACCGACAACAGCACCCTATACAACCGAAGCTCAATTGACCTGATGGGTTTCGGAATGTCCCGTAATGCTTGCCGAGCGGCTGCTAAGGAAGCCGGCGTGAATGTAAAGGATATCAAGGTGTGCGAGTTGCACGACTGCTTTTCCGCTAATGAGATGATAACGATCGATGCACTGGAGCTGTCCGAGCCCGGTAAGGCGCACGAGATGGTCCGTCGGGGCGACATTACTTATGGGGGGAAGATGGTGATTAATCCATCGGGAGGCCTCATTTCAAAGGGTCATCCGCTGGGAGCGACGGGTCTTGCGCAGTGCGCGGAACTGGTGTGGCACCTGCGTGGTTGGGCAAACAACCGGTTGATTGATGGAACGGATTCCGCCCTGCAACACAACCTGGGTCTGGGAGGCGCAGTCGTCGTGACTGTCTACAAGCGAGCGGATGGAAAAGTTGCGACGCTTGTGCCGTCGGACGCTGTTGGAAAGATCAACGGTCTTGGCTACAACCCGGCTGTTGAAGCCAAGGGCTTCACAGCCGAACAGGCAAAGACGGTTTTGAGTAAGAACCACAGCAGTGAGTGGGCACTATCCGACACCCAGGACAGGGTTCTCGCTCGTTTCTAGATCAAGGTCGGTGTGGAGTGCAAAAGGCGATGATAACCTTGTCACAGCCCTCTATTGCGTTTGCCTTACCATCTTCGTATTTGTAAATTGTTTACTCCGAATACATAGTTAGAATGACGAACTATGTAATTAGTTATTCAAGGAACCGGAATATCGTACAGCCGTATTACTAGTACGACTTAGTTGTTAGCTGTAGATTACATAACCCATCCCACAAGCTCCACTGAATAAATTTCGGCGTTTGTTTGCCGCCGGCTTTTCTCTTTCTTCAACATATTTCAGGTCTCCGACATACCCTTGTTGATGGAGGTTTTGGCCTTCAAAGCTCCCGTTCCGTCTGCAAATTTTAGACTGAGACCGAGAGCAATGAATCTGTGCTCGTTCTAATCCCATCACCTGCCATCCGGTCTAACCGGTTCAACTCCGGGGTTGTTTGGGTTCGCTTTTGAGCATACACCCTTTTGAGGGATTTTGATGAGGACGCATGCCTGTCCTACCGTATCGAGTTCAGCGATCAACCATCGCCGTTTCGAAGGAAGGTTGATTGTCAATCTTTTTCATTATAGTCCAGGAGAGAAGATGGTCTTTCCCTTGCTCAACTGAAACTGCTCACAGACTAACAAACAGGTTAATATAATCGTAAACCCGCAAAGACTTTTTTTTTTATAAAAAAAAAAAAAAAAAAAGTCAAGGCATATTCGAAGTCTCGTCCGTCACTGCTCTATGATATTCGAGGTCAAAACCGTGCCGAAAACGACTCGTGGACATTGTCCACTTCTAAACCCTCCCTCGTGTTGCGTCCACCTTTTGTTTCAAATGGGGTGTTACGTGTCAAAGTAGGGAGATACATTCCGACTTGTGTCGCTATAATTTTCCGGAATGTGCGTTGCGTAGTCAAGATTTTCAAGGCATGTCCTAGTCTGTCGCCTTGAAAATTTGTGGTGTGGTTTGCAAAGCCAAGGCGGCGGGAAGGGCTTCCACAGTCACCTGCGGCAGGCTTCGACATAGACGGTAGAGCTTAATCGGATGATCCCAAGGAGTATGTCGATCAGACCAGTTATGTTGCCCAGCCAAGGGTGAGCGTGAGCTGCAATATCTGGAAAGATCTTCTCATCCCAGGATTGGGAATGTAGTAGTCTGACAACCCTGATTGTCGTACACCTTCCAATGAAATGAAGGAATAACTACAGGAGTCCATGCCGTTGATTTGCCATACCGTTTGCTCCCTTACTCCCTTGCTTTGCCATCGTATGGTGCTTGAATATTGTCGGGAGAAGGAAAGACCATACGCAAACCCTGGGAAATGCCCCGTTGCCTCCCTTGGGTATGTATGTATGTCCTTGTGTGTTTTCCGTCTTGATAGCCTGTCTTCCCTATAAATGATGGGTTCGCTTTCCACAGAGTGAAAGTCTTTCGTTCCAGAGCACGTTCCCTCTAAAAGTTGTATACAAATATTTCGGCTATCTCCATAGGCCTGTCCACTCCTTTCAATTGATATTTTTTTTTCTCGTTGCAATCCCAGTTCAACATGGCTCGTACCACACTCTCTTTCTATGCCGTTTGCTTCATCTTAGCCCTCACGGGCTCTGCTTTGCCGGCCAGGCGCGCCGACGCTTCCTCGTCTGCCAGTGCGGTTGCCCCCAGCGGCACGGCGAATTTTGTCTACGATGCGGTGAAGGTGAGATATACGCTGAATACGCCTGAGGGGCCGGTGATTGATAGGACCCAGTCTGTCACCCACATGGCGCAGGACATGAACAAAGAATTCAGTGACGATGATGAGACGCCGAAGCCGACGCCCATCGATACCCACCCTGTTCCTCCCAAGCCTTCCAGCAGTGAGACAGCAACCAAGTCCCTAAAGGACGACTACGAAGAGCAAACCGCACAGAAAGTGCATGATCTCGAGGAGCCTTCGTCCTCACCAAAACCGAAAGCCAACGCTCAGACAGAGCCTCCAACGGAAGAGCGTCCAACGGAAGAGCGAAAGGAAAGCGAGCCTGCTCCCACTCCTACTCCCACGAAGCAGCAGCCCGCCAGCAGCTCCTCTGCAGCTCCAGCCGCTTCTAGCTCTGTTCATAAAGACGATGCTATCACTAAGCTTCCCGTCGTCGGCCCTATCCTGGGCAAAGTGCTGTAAATGTTGGACTGGGAGGTACTGTATTGAGTCCAGGGTTGTTGGGGCAAGTTAGGCGTCATGTTTTTGAAAACCTCATCCATACATCTTAATCAAATCATTGGCTATCGTTTTCTATTAGACTACTTGGAATTCGCTTGGTGTGTGAACGCTCCTTGAGACACCGCGTGAAGAAAAGCTGAACAATCTAATATGTACTCAGTCCCTATTGGAAAACCTGATTAATGTAGCAATATATTTGATTAACTTAATAACCCGTTTGATCAACGTGTAGGTGCATTCCTTGCCTGTAAGAGGTTGTTGGATTTCTGCTATAACACCCAGCTCACGGGCGAAAGATCAAGCATGAAGGTTGAGATCATGGTTCTGAAGACTGTATAGGGCTGGCCTCCAGCATAAGCAAGGATTATCGTACATAGTTGCTGCCAATAGCTGCTTGAACCAAGCAGGCCACGCATATGTGACCCTAGCATACACGTATAGTCCATCACTTACACATCCGGGAATCCTCCAATAATGAAAAATCGGCCTCTGGTAGGGCGAGTCATGTCCCCTAACCCGGTGACGCACCCAGAAGTATGACCAATTGAGTTTCGCAGACCGCGGCATCTGGAATAGTCGCCCGCGGGGGCAACAGATGGGTGCAGTGGCGTTCGATATCACCTCTTGTATTGATAATGGGATAGTACGTTGCCCATCACTTGCAGCTAGAAATGGGTCATGAACTCTTATTTTGGTTTGCTCTCTGTTGCCCTTCGTAAAGACCAGTGTAATATCCCGCAAAGTACCAGGACATCATAAGATTCTTCAGTCCTTCATCTTGAACTAAAACATACAAAAAAAAGTCAGCTTATATAACGGCATATGGATGCAGGACCCTCTCACCTTGCGATAACACTGTCTGAGGCATGGCGGCTGCCATAGGACTGGGCCCAGCCGTGTGATTCGTTCCTTGAACAGGAACGTCTGGGCTGGCTGTGCTCTATAGTAAAGATTAGTTGTCTTGTCATAAATTAAGTGTAGCTACGGCCACATACTTGCGGGACATCTGCCCGTGGAATGTTCTGAGCCTCTAAGGATGCCGCTACTGAATCGATTGCCGGCTCGTCAACATCAGCCTCCATATGGTCATCTTCGTCGACCACTCCTTGACAATCATCTTGGACCACCTGTCCATTTTCTGCCTCTTGAGCATCCCTCAATACATCTTCGACATTTTCCCCTTTAGCGTGGATGCTGTGGTAGAGCTATTCGGTGGTCTGTTAGAGGTGCATATCACGTGCGCCGGGGTTTCAGAGGAAGCAAAAGGTACCTTGTATTCTTCTACTGCTTCGTCCCAACTCTGTACGAGCGCAGAGTCGTCCCAGATTTCTTCCTGTGTCAGTGCTTTGGTCGCATTCTTGTTCTTCCCCATGGCATCCGCTTTGCTTTAAAACAAAAAGGGGAAATAAGGGCAGTTTTATTACGGCGAATTGCTGTGGTTGCAGTGAAAGGCGAGGGAGGTTTACTTAGTAAATCGATAACACTAAGACTGAGACGGAAGCTCACCGCTTGGCGTCCCGTCGGAGGAAAGAAAAAATACGTGCAAAAAAAAAAAGTTTCCGCACCCTCTTACTATCAACAGGTTTGGATTGTAGCGCTCAACCACAGCCTACAATTTATTATTATATGCCATAATGGCCCCGGATAAGAAGGATAAGAAGCGCAAGGGTATGTTGTTCTTCTATTTCGCTCAGATTTTCCGGATCGGTTGCCGTGCCACTTGCTAACAATGTCACAGCTGCCGCCGCTACTGCCGCCGCCGACTCTCCCGCAAAGAAGACCAAGAAGGTCGAGGCCAAGCCCACCGAATCCACAAATGCAAGCCCCAAGCCTATTCTGAAGAAGAACAAAGGAAGTGGTGCAGAGAAGCCAGCCGCAAAGTTGAAGGTCAATGGAGAGCCGACAAGGCAGGCCAAGCCTCGCAAGCGCGCTGCCGATTTCCTCAGCGACAACGACGATAGCGAATCGGAGGATGTCCCTGAGACTAAGGCCGAGCCAGAGAAGAAGTTGAGCAACAAGAAGACCAAGAAGGCGGATGGTACAGCAGCCCCCGCTCCCAAGGCAAAGACTACCAAAGCCAAGAAACCAGAGCCTGTCGCAGAAGAGTCTGACGATGAGGAGATGGAAGATGAAGAGTCTGCCGCATCTGGCGCTAGCGCAAGTGAAGATGAGGAAGAAGATGACCGGACCGCCGCGCTCATTAAGGGCTTCGAGAGCAGCGGGGATGAGGACGAGTCCGGCGATGAAGGATTTAACCCCGACCAACCGGTTCCTAAGATTCCTGATTCTAAGAAGGCCAAGAGAAAGATCTTGAAGAAACAGAAGGAAAACAAACAAGAGGCAGAGGAGCCAGGTACTGTATACGTTGGGTGAGTATTCCAGCCCTTCCTCGTTTATTAGAGAATTGGGTCTAATCAGCCATTTTACAGGCGTATTCCTCACGGTTTCTACGAACATCAGATGAAGGCTTACTTCTCGCAATTCGGCGAAATCTCTCGTCTGCGTCTTTCTCGGAATCGCATTACCGGTCGCTCGAAGCACTACGCTTTCATTGAGTTTACCTCCACCTCCGTGGCGAAGATTGTTGCGGCGACCATGGATAACTATCTGATGTATGGTCATATCCTGAAGTGCAAATACGTACCCCAGGAACAATTGCACTCAGAGCTCTGGAAGGGCGCCAACAGACGGTTTAAGCGGACCCCCTGGAACCGAATTGAGAAGAAGCGACTGGACAAGGCCAAGACCAGAGAGCAGTGGTCGGAGCGCATCGATCGCGAACAGAAGAGACGACTCGCGAAAGCTGAGAAACTCAAGGCTCTCGGCTACGAGCTCGAATTACCCCAATTGAAGAGTGTCGACGAGGTCCCCATTCAGCAGGAAGAGAATAAGACGATTGAGGCTTCGGAGACAGTAATCGAAGAACCTGCCAAGGCTATTGAAGCGCCAAAGGAGGAGGAGAAGAAGGTTGCTGATGATACCCAAAAGAAAGCTAAGAAGGACAAGAAGGCCGCACAATCAACTGAACAGGAGACACCAAAGAAGCAATCCAAGAAGGAGACTCCTGCAGCAACTGCTTCGCCTGCCACCAAGGCTGGAGCAAAGGCTAAGAAGGCGAAAAAGACCAAGACCAAGGCGTAAATCCCAAATTAACAATCTCTGTAACTTTCATAGCATAAATTATGTTTTCTCCATTGCCATGGGACAAAAAGCGGCTACTTGTTTTATATTTTTTTACTCTAATATTAAGTCACATTAGTTAGGATTTCCAATTCCTGAAAGAAAAATGGTGATATCTTCCAGCAATGCGTCCTGTTGCCGACACATACAATTTCCGGCACAATGTAGAGGACATCATTGGCTCTCCAGGATGTAAAATCACGTGATTACACTAGCCCACAGAAGGCTTAGTGGAACCACTTTGATCAGCCGAAAGACTAGAAAAAAAGCCCCAGCGGAACTTTTCGCTCTCGAATTCTTTCTCTCTCCAACTTCTCGCTCAAAGGATCGCATTCAAAGCTCACACACAGAATATTCTTAGCGGGATATTCTCCTCTCCTCAAGAGAGGCAATGGCTTTGGGAGAAAGTCCCCGGACATCCTGACCTTCATATCGGTCAGGCATTGCGGAAACGCGCCGCCATAGAAGCAATTCGATAGCGGCTGACTGCCCTATTCCCTCCCGGTATCCTGTTTGTATCCGACGCCTTCCATGGTGGAAACAATGGTGGTATAGCTGGGTGCCGGAGAGGGGTTTATCTGGGTTGCCATTCGTCGTGTTTGGATAGTCATGCGATTGCCTGGTTCCCTTGCAGGGACTGGGTAACTCAATGGGGCTCATTCTTGAGGCGAGGAGTTCACTTCTTTTTTATCTTCCAGAGTCTGTAGCTTATGGTAAAGCGGTGCACCGTGTTGGCTTCACATGGAGCCGAGCACAGAAGCCCTGTCGCAGGGGCCGGACTCCCTTGTTTACATCTCGTCTTGCTGTTTACTTCACTGTTCGCATGATGATATACCAATCATAGAGTCAAGCCCTGAAATCCCTACTACGGTAAGGGGTTGTTGACGATAAACGATTGTTTTCATATCTGAAGAACATCATTCTTGTACACACTATTAGATATCTTTTTATTTTAACAGAATAAACTCTCGGTTTATTTTACATTCCCATGCAACCCATAATATGTAACATGGCAACCGTCAATCATTGCGTCTTTTCAGCCGTAGCAACCGGAGTAGGTCGTCCATTCTGCAAAAACATTGATGTGACCATCTCCGCCGTAACCGTAACCGCCGTCGCGCACACGCTGTTCCAAACATGAACGCTCACCGACCCCATAGGAGCTCGGGGGAATGACAGAATCCATTGCACGTAGTAGGGGATCCACGCTTCCGGGAGCGCAAAAACAGGCGTCTTCGAGTACCAGAATTGAAGGAAGATTTTCAAACCGTTCGTGCTAAGCCACCGGGCGATCTTGACGCTCCAGTCGAAGGTGCTCTTCTGTGCCGAAAGCATTTTGTCTGTAGGTGTGGTATATTTAGTTAGCCTCAGTATTAATTATGGAGGTATGGCTCAAAGAGAATGTAGACAAGAGGGCGGTAGGTACATCACATACTCAGCTGTTCGTACTCATCCATAGTTTTGTCATGTCTACGCCTAAGTTTAGCCCACTTTGCGAATTCATCCTGAGAGCTGGTGTTGTTCATGTCTCGTTTCAGCTCGAGGGCTTCGCGCTTCAGCCGGCTCTGTTCCCGCGCATTCTTCGAAGTTGATGTGGGCAATTTCAGGTAGAGGAGCCATAGCTAGAGGTGAAAAGCCTTGTCAGTCAATGAACAACTGATCAAGGGAGCAGTTGAAGTGGCTTGAACCGTGTGACTGGGTGTAGCTTGATCAGGAAACATTAGGACGTACCAGGCTATCAATCGTGCTTGCGCCGGCAGTATTCACCACATAGATGGTGACATGGAGGAAAAGGATCGTCCAGATCAGGGATAACATCGTGAAGCGTGTAATTTAGGCCTTGGTAGAAAAGTACGATTGGCAGAAGAAACTGACTGCACAGCTACTTTTTTGGATTTGTGGGACACCACAGCATCCACCTGGCTGAAGAGATAATTAGACCTGCCCCGTGCGATCTCAAAATGACGAAAACCACAATTGGCAGAAGAAACTGACTGCACAGCTACTTTTTTGGATTTGTGGGACACCACAGCATCCACCTGGCTGAAGAGATAATTAGACCTGCCCCGTGCGATCTCAAAATGACGAAAACCCCAATTGGCAGGTTGAGGTCAGGGGAACAAGTTGAAGAAGAGTGAAAATGAGAAGCTGGACACACAGTCGGAAATGTTGTGGAACAATGGACTCTCGTAACTTGGATGACGTTGTCATGTTGGCCTCTCTCGTTTCTGCCCCATATATCCGTCGGCGGCGTTTCTGCCCGCCTTTCAACACAGCATCTGATTGTACCCGCCTGAAACTACCACACACAAGGCCATTGTCAACGCCATGGTAAATGACGGTTGACTTGTTAAATGATGGGATATATTGAAACTCCCCAATGTCCACCTCAGACAATGCGTTCCAAGAACTTGCCCGGATCTTTGCGACCAGAAACAACCGCGTTCTTGAGATCGAGATTCTCCCTCCAGCGCTTGGTCCCCTCCTTCAAGACGAATGCTCCGTAGGTATCACAAAGAAATACCTAGTTCAGTCGTTTGTGACTGCTAGACGTATATTCTTTGAGAAATCAAGGTCCCAATTCGAATGCGGAACCCCACGCACAATAACCCAGAATGAGAATGAGCGCGTAACTCACGGCTCTTCGGACGCGATCCTCGAGGACCTTTTAGTCTCAACAGAAATAATCCTGTTATTCGACTGCGAGCATCTTACAGCATGCAACTGGAGACGCGGGCGCCTGGATGCCCTCAAGGGACACCATGATTTTTCCTCCCACGATCCGGGGCCACTTATCCAAGCGCTAGAAGCTGAGCTTACTCTGATGACAACTTATCTTTGCTCGCCCTTACACCGGCATACAAAATCTCCGACGTTATGGCAACATCGATTATGGGTACTAAGTCGGTTACTCGAAATACGCGAGGCGAGAGCGAGACGACTACACTTCGTCAACCCGTCCGAGGAAACAAACCAACACCAAGAGAGTAGTGTCGACTTGCTAAAATCTGAGCTAGCCATCGTTCATCGGGCCGGAGAACTACACCCACGAAACTATTATGCTTTTAACTATATGAGACAAGTGCACAACATCCTTTCCGATGCTACAGAAGGTTCCCGAGAAGGCCCCTCTTCCTTAGCTGAATCGACTATTGATTCGATGTTGCACTGGTGTTTGGGCCATCCGTCGGATATATCCGGGTGGATGTTTATGCTCTATCTTCTGAAAGCTGTTCCGAAAGGTAACCTTCATGTCAGTACTGTTAACAAGGTGGTCCGCTACGCTTTAGATGTCGGGTGGGAAGGCGAGAGCCTCTGGACCTTTGTGGACCAGTCTGTTAAGTCGCTTGGTCTGGAGGAGACGGTCTACAATGCTCTGCAGAGGATTCCGGGGACCTCTTTTACTACTATTTCCACGGTTCAAGATGAATCGATGAGGAATACAACTCTGCCAGTGCGACCGTGGAAATATTGGCTGACCATGGCGAGGAAATACTGGGGTGGCTACAATTAAGTTGTCAAAGAAGCAATATAGGTTTCAGAAAAACACACGCTACTCATGTTCGAGCCACGGACACCATCAAATGGCGAAACCCTTAAGTCTTTTAAGCAACAGGTATGATTAATATAATCTCTCGTGCCTTCGTGATACATCGCTCTGTGTACGAAGAATAGAAACTCCTCAGCGTTCGAATAACGCCTCGCTAGATATAATGCTATAATAATATGCGCCAATAGCCCCAACTTCCCTGTATAGAATCCAGTGTATAGTATAAGATAGCCCGCATAGATCCATCATTCCCGTCACATCTCTCAGCATATGGCATGTCTCCAAACACATGCGCTCCGACAGACATGGTTATGATCCAAAAAAAAAAAAAAGCGGACGTTGCTCGAAGGATATGCCACAGGAGGACGTTCATTGAAGTGAAAGGGGGGGTGGGAGGTATATGCGATGGATTCAAGCCAATGCTGGTCATTTCTTTTTATCGGATCCGGCTTTCGATGCGTCGGCTAGTTTCAAGTACCGGGAGTTAGCAAGTGATAGACAAAGTGCATGATACTGTCGGCGGATTGTGTGATACTGGGGAGCAAATTGGAAGATACTCACCATTTGCTTGCTTCCTTCGCATGATCTCAGCATCTGACTCCTTTTTCTGCTGGTATTGCGTCCCAGACAAAGAGTTGGCTGTTTTCTAGACGGGGCGAAATATGGCGTTAGTGAAAACCTGACAGTGGGGATAGATACACTATTGGGGGAGAAGTCATGTATAAAAAGTGTCGTTTACCTTTTTCTGTGCTTTTTTCTGGCTCTTGATGCGATCTTGGTCTCTCTGGTTTCCGCGGGTCATCTTGATTGACGTTGAACTTTTTCTTCTTGGCTCCTTCCCTTTTGTTTATGACTATATAATTATTTTCTTAAATTTTGTTTAATTTATTCCTTGTCTGCGGCGGCGGCTGGTGGGATGGGGTGAAATGGGGGGAAAAAGGGGGGG